TGAGCAGTCATCTCCTTCCCCAAGGCGGCCTTCTGAGCAGTCATCTCCTTCCCCAAGGCGATAATTTTTTTTTTGGATGACTCTTTCTGGCGGGTAATAGCTTCGGTGGATGCGGCCTTCTGAGCAGTAATCTCCTTCTCCAACGCGGCAATTTTTTTTTCGGACGACTCTTTCTGGCTAGTAATAGCTTTGTGCATTGCGGCGAGTTGGGTATCCAAACGCTGGGAAAGATTGACAAGGTCCAGGCCGCGTGAATTTCCAACACAAAAATCCTCTTTCACCGGCTTGACAAATAGTTCTTCAGTTTTCAGTGCATGAATGAGAGAAGCTTTTGCATCATCCTTGATCTTTGCAACTGTGCCAATTCTCAACCTAGTCATCAATATTGAATCACAGACTGGCGTATGATCGAGACCCCCATGCCTCACCGCATTCCCGCCGCTCACTGTAGCACCAAAGTGCCTCAATAGGCCGCGCAGACGAGGTGCACCGTGCCCTCGGCGAAGGCCATTTGGCACTTTGGATAAGCCGTTCCTCATATTTTTTTTTGATCGTCTCTCGGTTCTGAATCGGGGGTGGTGGATGGAATGACTTCAGTTCACGGGCAGAAGGAAATTGTACCAGCACTTTTCTCTTTCTTTTTCTTGCTCCGGCCAGTGAGTTGCCTGTTACCCGGTTGCGGCTCTGCTGCAGGGCAGGGGATCTTCTAAGTCATTCCTTTTGTTAGCAACTATTATCACCGCTCCTCACTCGCAGGACCTCCGCAACCTTTTGTTGGAAATTGCGGTTGAATTGACGAAGGTTTTACGGAACCGAAGGAAGTAAATGCCCAAAGAGAGAAAAGTATTTTTCTTGTATACAGAGAGTGGAGTCAAGAGAAAGAAAAGAAAGGAGGTAGGTTTGTTGACTGTGCAGAGTTGAGGAAACAGCAAGCGAGGAACAGGAGGAATTAGGTGTGTTGGTTGGTCAGGTAAGAGAAGAAAAAGAACAGAAGAAAACAAACTTCAGAGAGCAACGCACAACAAGGACATGAAAGATGTGTAAGCACTTACATATGCACATGAATGCTTATGGCTCGCATATGAAAACATTTTCATGTTTTCAACACCTTTTTTCAAATATGGCTATTTAGGAAATCACCCTCATGATCACCAATTACACATAACAATGAACCATTTGATACATGAACTACTAAAACTATCATACCTCAACCTCAACCACTACTTCTCTGAATATGAGTGGCATGTTTAACGAAGGGAGTATATCGAAGGATTGGCCGGTATGTGGTCATTGATCTATGGTGGCTGGGAATGGGCTGAGATGATCTATCGTTACAAGGTTAACAAGGTTTAGGGTGCGTGAGGGTTTTGTGACTCCGGAAGTGGTGTACATAACCTCAGCAGTAGCCTGCCCCCCCGCTATCCAACGGTTAGCAGTGTCCCATAGGGTCAGGGAGCGTAGGGGCTTATAAGGGTACCATCATGGCTGCCAACGAGAGCGCGGATATTCCAAACAAGATCCTGTAACATTCTGCTTTGTTCTTCGACCATGGCTTTCAATTCATCCTGTTTACCTGCGATTGTAGCGGTTGTGGCTTCCAATTTATCCTGTTTAGGTGCGATTGTAGCGGTCGCGGCTTTCAATGTGCTGACATCTGTAACCAGGCCAATGATCTTTGTGGTGAGGTTACTGACACTGCCTTCTAGTGCTAGATTGTATTTGCTCTATCCTTCGGCATGCGCTATGACTCTGTCACTCAGCCCGGTGACCGTCGTACCCAGGCCAATGAGACCGCGGTTGAGATGTTGGTAATCCTCATGGGTAACCTTGAAATGTTCGGCGATAGAGGCAAAACGAGTGTCAACTGAACTTGACATACTGGTAGACCGGGTCTGGTGCACGTTGGTAATCGTACGGATCGCAGAATGGGGGCGGGTCTGCCTAGGATCTTTGGTGGCTGTATTCGGCGCGAAAGAGACGTGGAGCTGAAATGAAGGAGGGGTTGGTGAGCAAGGGGCCAAGAGGAGGATTGATGGTAGGAGGTGTGGAAATGGGAATGGGGGGCGTGTGGAGAAGGAAGGAAGGAAGGAAGGAAGGGAGGAAGGGAGGGAGGGAGGGAGGAAGTACGAGTAGGGAAGAGTGAATCGTTAGCCGCCCTCGGGAGGTCTTAGGATGACTAATCGGGGCATGGCATTTTCGGGTGCTTATCTAATCAAGGCGCTAACCCAAAACAGATAAAAAAACGTCGGTGTAGTATAGTGGGATAAGCATTTTTCGTTTTCTTTCTTTCTTTTCTTTTTCTTTCTTTTTTTCCCTGCACGTTTTTTCCCTGGTGCCTGGAACGGGGAAGATACTTGGCAGACCTGCAACGTGTTATCAGAGCAACATGGGTCGCACGGGGGCGTCACTCGAGGTCCCTGGTCCAGGCATGAAGTTTGCTCGATACCGCCATCCGGCATACCGATGCCATATGCTTCATTGAGGAAAAGTCCATATGCCGTGGTACAATTTCTGCAAGAGAGTTTTCGTATATCTTAGGGACCCGCTCATCTCATCCTTCCCACAAGGAAATGTGAGTACTTCTACCACCTGCATGATACCCGTGTACTTTTGTCTCCTATTTACCCCGATTTACAATAACGTCGACCCCCAGTTTTCTAGATACTGTAAAGAGTGAAAGGATTACTTTTCAACATATGGATGTACTTATGGGATAGCACATGGATATTTGTGGTTGTATTCTATGGTTTGTTTGCTGGAATTCTTCAATTCCTGTCTACATCAGGGGTTCCGGTTGGCCAGATAGGGAGAGAGAAAAAGGGGTAACGGTTGAAGATAGGAGGGACACGGGATACAGCTATTTTCTTTGGTAAACAATTCTCTATTCACTTTTCCTTTCAGGTATCATCCTTGAACATTACCTGGGGGTGCGACTATCTAATGATATGACCAGTTCCCGATATAGAAACCCTTGAGGCAGCATCCTCGGTACATGTTATGGTATATCTTGACTCTGACGCTGATCCTGGTATTACACGATAATGTTGTGAGGCCTTTGCTGCAGCACACCGTGAAACGGCTACACATACACAGCAAGGGACAATCAGGAGTTTCGAGACCATTACAGAATATTGTATAACTCATCTCGGGACTATTCTATGGGCATACCGTGTGATCTATCGTGTGCCCAGAGTTGGAGGGTTTCAGATCTATTGTTTCCGTCTGTCTCGGGATTGTCGGCCAAGGATATTATAGATTAGATTAAATTTGTTATCATTAGGAGTCTGGAGCTCTATTGATTCCCGTGGCTCTATTGATGAAGTGATATGATAACAGACTTCTGCCTTCGCGGTTACAAGATTAGATTAGATGGCTCTCTCTCTCTCTCTTTTTGGAAGGGCGAAGTCACGGGTATCAGCTATAGCATATATATTTTAACTGGATGAATTTGGAACTTCCCTAGGTTGCTGACACTGGAATATGGAACTTGGATCAGCAATAGATTGACGGTCCCTGAAATAGTTGTGCAGTACTTTGCTTTGCGCGTGGCGGGGGGGGGGGGGGCGGTATACAATTGGATTGGGTTACGAAATTGTGGGGGCTTTATAAATGTTTTTTTTTTTTCCTTTCCTGCAGTAAGGCAAGAAAGTGGTTGGAAATAGATATTCGTGGACGTCGGTGTACGGAAGATTCCTTTTGCTAGATTCTTGACCGGTGCTCACTGGGCCTCTGTATGTAAGCTGGTACTCGTTCAGCCTGATGTTCTGCACTGAGAGGCTGCGATATGGATTGAGAAATGTGATAAATCTCTCACCCAAGATAAATTGATAGAAGTGCAAAGGGGCGGTTGGCCATTGCTTGAATAGGCGAAAAAAGATATCCGCCAATCGATAATTAAATTCGTGGCGATTGATGAGACGTGATTTATTCAAAGGTACGATGCTCCGCTCAGGCAAGGGGTGAGGTTGAAGTTGAGCTCGGGATCAGATAAGTACAGTTGTATGGATCAATTCAGACCGGCCAATGGGAGGAGTGATAAATTGGCTTACGCTCTTTATCAGTTGCTAGGCACGAATCAACTAGTTCATCAGAGTTGTTAGGCGGACCGGTGCATCGTGAGGGAAAAAAAAAATTCCTGGATTGTCTCTGCACCTGACACTGGGATAGCAGGGAAATTGTAAAAAAAAACGTAAATCGCATGGGGAAAAGGAGATACGGGCAAGTAGAGAATGGGGGTTTGGTGTGAGCTTATCACATTTATAGTACCCTCGTCAGTGGCAGCAGCAACTCGTGGGAGCTTGGATCCATGCTCTCTTGTGGTGTCTTTCAGAGAGGACCGTTTCTGAACATTCCTCACTCCGCCGGATATCACAATGATCGGAGTGCTCTGCGAGGGGGAATCGACCAATATAGGGCCGTTGATGTGTATCAGAATTGCCAGGTAGGCTACATAGAAAATTATCCCTATTGAGAATAAGTCTGTCCCTTCTTCCCTTTACGGTTCCTGGTTCTAGTTGATCTTGGTGTCGCCGAGCCTGCCAGACTTGGGGATCCCTTACGAGTACGGCGGATTTTACTTTTTCTTAAGTTTACATAACTTTCTTTCCTCCCTTCTTCTCCTCCCCCCCACCCTACTAACGACAACCTACACCAGTATACAACAACCAAACACCTTTTCCCCATCCTCAACAACCACAAACTTCTACTCTGCTCTGACCTACCCTATCGCTTTACCTGTAGCACTCGACCCTCTGCGGCATGCCTGGGAGGCTGCTGTCCGACTCGGTTACTTCACTCGCCATGACTTCCTCGACCTCAACAGCCGGTGTCACAACCGTCGCCGCATCCGCTCCCGTAGTCATCCCTTCCTCACCATCACCCACCCCAGGCCTACCTACTACGGCAATAACAACAACCGCTACACAACCACCACCACCTCCCACTCTGTCCTCACCCACTCTGGAGCTCGCAGCTGCCCTTGCTATTGATGCCCAGCCGAATACTGACAGTTTAGAGACTTCAACCTCAAACATGTCGGTCCAAGATCATGACAGGGACGCTACTGTGGATTCAATCTCGCAGAGAGTTTCACTGACGTTACAAGAACATGCCCAACATGCACAACAATCGATTAAACAGCAGCAGGATTTGGAGCAATTACAACAGGTGGCTCAGCAACAGCAACAGTCCCAAAATCAGCTTTCTTCCTCCTTACCGCCACCACCGCCTCAGGAGCAGCAGCAACAGCAACAGCAGCAGATCCAGCAGCAGCAGGAGGCATCACCGGCTCCTAGTGGTGGTCAAGTTTGCAGGTAAGGTTTTGTCATTTATTTGTATATTTGCTTTTGTTTCTTTATTTCTAGGTTTGATTTTTTCACCCTTCCTCTTTTTACTCTCCCCTATTTTTCTTCTATTCTACCGGGTCCGGGATTGTGCTCATATCTTCCTGGATGGGAATGCAAACAGCAATTGCCGCACTACACGTACGCCTCTTTGGCGCCGTGCACCGGACGGCCAAACTATTTGCAACGCCTGCGGGCTGTATTTGAAGGCGAGAAATCAATCACGCCCTACAAATCTAAAAAGACCCCCTCACGGCTCTACTATAGGCTCTCTTCAGTCTTCACTGGGAGCCACCTATGTTGCTGCCGACCAGGTCGCTTCGGGAACCTGTCCGGGTGGGGGTAAATGCAATGGGACTGGAGGAGCGCAGGAATGCAATGGGTGCCCTGCTTTCAACAATAGAGTCAGCAAAGCAGCACAGTTCACTATGGCAACCTCGGCGAATGGAAATGGGATTCCCATGGACCCAGCGCTGACCAGCCAAGACGTTACTCCACTGTGTCCTTCTGCTCCGGTGCAACAGACTCAGCAGCAGCAGCAGCAATCCCAACGACAGCAACCTCAACAGGCTCAGCAATCGCAACGGGCCCCGCAATCTCAACGACCAACTCAAATCCGTCAGCCATACACGCAGGCTACGGTTGTTAGGACAGGTTCCCCCACGAATACTACGGTTGTCGTGGCATGCCAGAATTGCGGGACAACCATCACACCGTTATGGCGCAGGGATGAGAGTGGTCATACAATTTGCAATGCGTGCGGTGAGTTATAATTATTTCAGCTCAGCCAATCCTCCCGTGTGGTTTTCTTATCAGATCGTACGATGCGAATTGCGAGAGGCGTTTAATATTCACGATTAGCCGAAGGCAGTAAAGTGGTCTTCCTGTTCATGTCGTGTCACCCCTAACCCTTGATCTGATTTGATTTCGATTGATAATCACATCACTCTGCACCGTAATCGGGTTAATCAGATATGCTTTTCCGAGGCATTTTTATCTTATTTTAAACCCCCCTGTGCTTTTGTATTTCTGTTATACTTGATTAGTGCGACCTTTCCTTTTTTTTTTTTCGCTTCTCGTATTTATTGCTTTTTCCTTTTCGGTTTCCGTTGGTGGGACGGAAAGCTAATGATTGAACGATTGCTGATTTCTGCGATGAAGGTCTCTACCATAAGCTCCATGGCGTACATAGGCCGGAGGCCATGAAAAAGAGTGTCATTAAACGGCGAAAACGAGTCGTTGCTCCGTCAAATGGAAACCACAATACTAGTCCGGCCCCCCCTCCTGCAGCTACCTCAGGAAATGAATTTCACCAACAACTGTCGGCGCAAACCCCGACACCTGCCGGCAGGACAGACTCATTCTCGGTAGTCCAGCAGCAGGGACAGCATGGTCCACAGACGACTAATGTATCGGACGATGACACGGTGATGACTGACGCAAATGAGAATTCTTTGAGGCAGTTGCAACATCCCGACCCTGAGCAAAGACAATACCCCCCACTCGTGGATTTTACAGGGGCATTCCGTAAATCCAAAACCGATAATAATAACCCAGTGTCTACCGCTGAAGTGGATCCGAATCAGACATCCATTCCCTCTCGTCTATCCGGCTCCTCTACCGCTCTCTCCCAGTTATCCGCTGATACCCCTTCACAACCACGCAAACGTTCTCTATCAGTTGCGGAAGCTGACGGTGATAATCAACGTACTCATTCTATCAATTCGATATTAAACCCTCACGGTCAAATGAGCAACGTACCCATCGAACCTAGCCTCCTCGCTCTCGGCGTAAACGACAACGAAACACTTCTCACTGCCGAGCAAAAGAGGCAGTTGCTCCTCCAACGCAAGAACTATCTCGAGCGCGAGACCAAGCGTATTAAGGCAGAGATGGAAGAATGCGACAAGGAATTGGAGAAGTTGGCAACTACAGCGTCTGCCAACACAGTGGCTGACGAGATTGTGATCATGGCGAACGGGATTTCCACCCCCAACGGATTCTAGAGGTATCCGTTCTTAGGATTCGATGTTTATATCTAGTTCGCTTCTTCCGCACCTTCCTTGTTGCCTTCGCGAACGCTTGGGTGGGGGAGTATCGAAACCATAAATTAAATGGTTGGGATTCAGACAGACCCAATAGCCTTGGAAGCTTTGGGTCTTTGGCATGTTTTGGCTTTTTCATCATTTTCCATCAATGATTCCTTTCGGGTTCTGGTGTGCTCATTGTTTTTTTTTACTTTTGATTTCGTAACTAGTTCTTGCTGGCGCGTGTTCCTGTATCCCATACACTCACTTTGCCTCACACATACCCGCCCTCCCGCGTCTCCTTGCCCACTCTTTATCTTTTTAGTGCCCTGATGGGAAGCTCCTCTTCTACTCTTTCTCCTTCGCTCTCCTTCGCTCTCTTTCCGTATTCTCATCCCGAATGCAACGTTGTGCGTGCGAGAATCTGGTCAGCCGGTGAGGCGTTCAGTTTAGTTCAGTTAGGTTTAGTCTTTTCTCGAGTATATAGCTCACTCCATTCCTCTCACTTCATCTTTCTATCCCTGGAGCATATGTGACCACAGGGAATTGTTTTACTGTACTTTATCTTTTTCTTGCTTCATGCATCATTTCCTGTTGTTCTTGCTTTCCTATTCTGTCTTTGTGAATCCCTAGCTAGGGGAGGGGGGGGGATTGTACTTTACAGCTTTCGTTGATAATGAACGGTGTTTGCTAGTCATGGTGCGTCACTCGGGAGTAGTCCGTTTTGCCTTTTAGAATCTACGACTCTCGTGGCCGCGTCGTTTAGCCGGTGAGAGGGGTGCAAATGGGGTGACGAATTAGACAGGGAAATGCGGGGAGGTGAAGGTAGGGGTTGGAGTCTTGTTTGAACTGTGAATTAGGAATAAAGGATAGAACTCCCGGCACGGCATGATACCGTGTTTCGAGGGGAAAAAAAAGGAAAGAAAATAATGAACGGGGCCGATCCGGATCAAGGTGAATTGCACCGTATCGTGCGCACGAGAAGTTCGTATTATACCGGTCTGAATGAAAAGCGTGGATCAGCTCTCCCTACACATACACACGTACATACCACTGAGCCAAGGTCGGAGGGGTTTTTTATTTCCTTTCTCATCATTACAACCCCCAATCACCGCAGAATAAGAACGAACCCCTATGGAGCATGCCGTACCGCTACCGCACACCGTCGCCATCTTCCCCGCAGTGAGCTGAGGTGATTGAGGGTTGTCGAGAGTTGGGTAATTAAGGCTACGCTAGCATTCGAATTTCAGAAGTAATTCACCCACACACACACACACACTCAGAGCCAACCAGCCAGCAGGCCGTGAGTGCTTGGACCCCCCTCCTTCCTTCCGTCGGGCAATTGGATCTGATAAGTTTATATCATCCCTTGCTTATCAGACCATATCATACCTGTTACGGGCAGGTGGTTGTTAAGAGACCGTGTCACACCCGTTAACTTATGCTTCACATAGCTTCCGGACTGGCCACGTTCTTTTTTCCTAATTTCTTTTTCTTTCTTTCTTTTTATTACCCCCTTCAGGGTTTCGTGATACGGTACGGGCATCATGGTGTGTGTGGGGTAATGATCGTTTGGATTTGATTTGGCGGGGTGTGATTGCTGATTGCGGGAGGGAGGGAGGGAGGGAGAGCCTTATCTCCATAATATTATATATATATATTGGAGGAGGTCTGGGCATCGGATTTGTGGTTGAGTGGAGTTTTTTCGGTATAACCCCTTTGGTGTCATACGTTAGGTTGGTGTCATAGACTTGTGCCCTTGGTGAGATTAGGTGAGGTGCTTTTAGGGATGATTGGCTTTACTGTCATGGATGCTCACTCGTGGACTGGGTTTGTTGGGCGGATTTGGAATGGGTAGACTAGTGCTAACCAACGTAGGGAAGGTTGGTTTGTTGGCCGAAGAACTCAAGGTTTGAGTTTGTTACTATGATACTCTATGCTAGTAGGTTCTTCGGGCTCATAACTGCCATCACTAACTTCTATTATCGTGCATGACCATCAATGACCAACGAAAGGGTTTAAGTTAATGAGAAGAGAAACAAAGGAGAAAGGAAATAGCAAAGCAAAACGCCGACACCACCGCTATCACCCGATCGAACTCAACACCAGGCAAACCTCTCATTAACAAACCATTCCACTTCCCCAACTTCACTCCCCATTCCGGGCTCATACATCATGACGCTGGGAATCCCGTCTGCCTCCCTCTCAACCACCTGTCCGCCGAGTTCCTTTCCGGCCTCCTCCACTGCCTCCTTCGGACTCCAAGACTGCACGCACGTGAGCCCCCACTCCCTCGCCTCGACCAACGCCGCGGCCAGCAAGTCCTTTGCATCCTCCTTACTGGGCTCGCCCGCTACGCGCAGGACGTGCAACTTCGGCTCGTCCTTTTGAAAGTCGTGGGTCCAGACGATCCACGCTGAGCCCGAGGCCGTGATTGCACCTTTAGTGGTGGGAGGGGGGCGGTTGGTGACGCTGGCAAGGTGCTCTGCACGGGCAAAGTGCCAATCATAGGTTTTTGAATCGGGGTGGAAGGCGATGCGGGGCTTGAGGGCGGGGGTGGAGGTCAAGCTGGCTTTTAGGGCTTCAATGTCCTGAGTGCAGAGGGGAGGAAGGGAGGAGGTTTTCAGCGGGGTTGTCTTGTCTGCGGTTGTGGAGGGGGGTGAACTAGGGGATACGGGGATGTCAAGGTGGAGAGAAGAGTGAGGATGCCATCCCAGCCTCTTGTAGAATTTCTGACCGGGACAGGAAAATATTAGCTTTCCCCAATACTACTACATACGCAGCTCGACAAGAAACATCTCCCACCTTCCCAATATCCGAGTAGAGAGCACTCAAAGCACTCTTTCCGCCATGCCACCTCAGCTTCTCTGCTAGCAACTTCAACATAATGCTGGCATACCCTTTCCCTCTCATATCGGGCGGGGTGAAAACGCTCCCAATGCAGTGTCCATGGCTAACGCGCACCTCATTACTTCCGGCTTCCATGACAAACACCTCTTTGCGGATGCTCTCGCAGGAAGCGAGGAGTGTAGCCGGGTTGGTGGTGGGGTCTACAAGGGCCCAACTTGTCAACCCACCGTTCCCTGTTAAGGTTGTGCTTGAGAGGACTTCCTCGCGATAGAGGTATTGCTTCAGTGTTAGGTGGGTGCCCCAGTATTCTCTGTGCGTGCTGCGGATATGGATAAGCTCCTGGGGGGTAGGGTTTCGGAGGTGGTGGTTTGTTGTTGGCATGGTGAGTTGATTCCTTCGGGCTTTTGGTGATGGATTAGTTGGAGGAGGATATGTGGAAATTAGCTTAGAGTAGTGCGGTAGGAGAAGTAGGAATAGTGGTTTTTTTTTTAAGTATTTACTGAGCGGATTGCCCGACAGCTTCACTTCATTCCCTAATGACGGATAGAAGGACGGGAGAGGGAGGAGAGCGGGGAACTACTGGCTATTATAGCGCTAGGATAGTGCTCGTCATAGCCTTCCCGTTATACTCTTCCCCGTAACTCCCGCACGGCGATACATCGTGGGCCTAAAAAAATGGATTACGGTTGAGACTGGATTACAGTATCCCTCCTACTCTATTCTTCTATCCTCTATTCCTGGAAGCCGGTTAACAAACAAGCTTCGGTCTTAGGAAGGTGTATCTATGAGCATGGTAGTTGCCTAATTGGACGATTTTCCAGAAGCTCGAGTGAGACATTGGTCTCGCTTCTTTCATGCCCGATAGGTTATGCCTCGTGACTTGGATTGGCAGCAGCTAGGAAGAGAAGGAGGTGGAGGAGGTCTGCGATCTTGGGCTGTGGTGTATGAGGATGTAGGTATAATCCTCTTTTTCCATTTCCATTCCTTAAATTCATACAGTACTTGAGTGTGTTAATTGTCTACCTGCGTTACCTTATTACATGGAATGTACAAGTACTGTACCTACATACCGGTACGTACGGAGATACATACCTGGGGACAACGGGTTAATGATAAAGGGTGGGACTTTTCTCCAGGTTTATCACCTCCCCCCACCACGCAACTTGGGAGCTCCTGACTATATTTTCATGAGGTGAAACTCAGCATATTTGGCAGGGATGAGTTACTCGAGCAGTGCGATTTTCCAAAACACTCGAAAGGCCTAACGAACTCGGAAAAAAAAAACTCAAATACCTACTGCAGCTCCCCGTTGGTCGTAAAAAGAAACGGAACCTTCATTGGGGGACCCATTGACGATCAGGACTATTCTAGGCCTCATTGGGCGGATAAACCGAAGGGAATATCGTCATAAAGACAACTCGAGGGTTTTTTTTTTCTCTTAGAGTTCGCTCAGTTTCTCAAGTGTTCTGGAAATCGCAATTAACCCCGGTTGGAAGTGAGTGAGTGAGTGAGATGAGGGTATTTCTTTATGGTAAGTTACACCTTCATGGGGACTTGTTGTTAACTTCGGCAAGGAAGAACCGAGGGGAAGCGGTGCAAAGCGGGATCGATGACCGAAGGTGTGAGACTCGTGCCAAGAAGGATGAACCGGTGTTGGCTTTAGTCAAAAGTGCGGTGAGTTGGGGATTCTGGTCAAGGGGGTTCACAAAGGCCGATTCTGGGCGAATTTCTGTCTTTTTTTTTCACCTTTTTCTGCACCGCATGAACCCGGAGCCTTCCACGCAGTTGGACCCGAACCTGAGGTGATTGTGTAGTTGTGCAGATGGAGATAGATAGTCTACCGGTATGTGTGCAGCAGTGTTCAGCGCGACGGAGGGATTTATCCTGAACCCAGTTCTTTTTTTTTTCCGCCCATGTGCTTGAGTAGGGGTGGTACTGTACGATGGTTTTTTGTTTGGTTATCATGACGTGCTTTTTTGGGTTCATAAACTTAAGGCCTTGGTTGGTTTTTATCACCAACTTAAACCCGTCACCAAGATTATCGGTACCGTACTTGAATACGGTTCAAAGTTCCAATCCGACTTTTGCCAAATGATACTGTGCTCGAGTACAATTACATTGTTGGGTTGGGCGTCTATGACAATCGCTTTTTTCCCCTTTCTTTGTGGATGGCAACGGTGGGGGGGTGCGATTGTTTTTGTTTACACTTTTCTCCTACACACGGTTGGCAACCGAACCACCCTACCCTTCTTCCATAGATTAACGCGGACAACTGCGACATACACGCAAGAAAGCGACAGAGCGAACACCAGCATCATCATCACGATATGGCATACAATATGCGGCAAGGGAACTTTAGAGGCTCTCAGAGCAATTCGAAGCCGCCAGGCTCGACTATGAAGGGAAAACAACAGCAGCAGCAGTATGCCGCGGAGAATCATCTTTTACTTGTACGTCCCTCCCCCCCTCTCTCCCCGGCAGATAGAGGGGACCCATTCTAATAGTCAAGCAGAAAGACAATGAGCTGGTCGACTGCATCAGCGAGCTCGGCATCCCCTTCCAAATGGAAGATCTCAAGAAGCCCTCCCCACAAAAGATCCAACTGGTCTTCGAAATGTTCGCCGACCTCCTAATGGGTGTTCGCAAGGAGACCATCGAGCCGGTGCTGAATGCCGCAGCACAACAGGTCCTCGAGTTCCCCGAGACGCAAACCGACTCACACACGCTCATGGCCTTCTACGTATCCCTCAGCCAGCTCATGCTGGAGTGCGGCATCGAGGACTTTACTTTCAACGACCTGGCGAAACCGGACTCTATGCGTCTGACTAGGATACTCAGTTACGTTATCAACTTCACCAGGTTCCGGGAGGAGCGGGCCAATATCATTGACGAGCACTTTGGCAAAGCCCAGAAGGCAAAGGAGAAGATTGAGCAGTTGTACTTCGAGAACGAAGATCTGAATAATCGCTTGCAGGAGTTGAAGGTGCAGAGGCTTAAGGAGGAGCCCATGATCAAGAAGGCGAAGGAGGTCCGGAGTGCGCTTGTGGCGGATTTGGAGACGCTAAGGAAGAGGCAGGAGGCGCTGTCGAATGACTTGGATAGGTTGAAGCAGTTGAAGGTTTCTCATGCTCAGACACTGGTATGTCTTCTCTCCGGTGCTCTCATTACTTACACCTTTGCAATTGTAGCTAATAGGTCTATAGGAGGACCGCCAATACCTGAAAGTGAAAACCCAGCAGGAGAATAACAAGATCCGTCCCTACATTGTCGACTCCCCACAAAAACTGCAGCAAGTAATAACCGACATGGCCAACTCCCTCGGCGCGGAAAAGGTGGCACATGACAGCCTGGAGCGCAAGTCCCGTTCCCTCCAAACCTCAGCAGACTCCTTTGTGATTGTGGAGCAGGACGTGGCTGGCTGCATCAAAGTGATGGAGGAGGTCGAGCAGGAGCTCATTAAGGAGGAGGAAACCTCAAGACGTGCATCCCGCCACACCGAAATCCTAACCGTCAAGCAGACAGAGGTGCACGAAGTCGAACGTTCGGAGAAGCGACTATCCCGTCAACTCGAGAATGCAACGGAGAAGCTCAAACGCGCGCGCGAGACGGGTGAGGGCAAAGCCGAGGCTGCACAGAAGCGAATGCTAGAGCTGAAGGAGGCTTATGGTGTTCTTAGTCGCGAGCGCAGCGAACGCGACAAGGAGATGGAGCGCAAGAAGATCCGTATCGAGCGCATTGAGAAGGAAATGGCGGACATGAAGGAGACGGTGGAAATCGAGGTTGCTGCAGCGCACAAAGAATTTGCGAAGATGAAGAGCCATGTAGAACTTTACATGAGCGAGATGGAGCAGTGTATTTGAATGTGATGTAGTGTAATTTCTTCTTTTGCTCTCTTGTTTCGCTCGTTTGATTCTCGGGATGCGTGCTTCGCTATAGGGTCTTTTTTTATTTTTATTTATTTTTATTTGCACCGGGGGTAGGGTGGGGGGAGTTTGGGATCGGGAACTTTTTTTTTATTCCTTTTGAAATGTTGTAACTTAGAGGCTTATGATGTTTGAATGATGAATACAAGCAGTTTTTCCTGGACTTTGTGGGTGCAATATGGATTCAACTTTCGCGATGTTATTGCGATGGCGTGGGGGATGGTTTTATTGTAGAACCACCTGGAAAGCTCGATACTGTCCAGCACATTGGGGACGGGCGAGGAATGGGGGGGAGAGAGAGAGGGTATTTGTACAGAACTGGAAATCTCAGAGGTGGCCAGCCCGACCACTCGACTATGTATATCATCATAATATATCATATATACCATCCAAGAATACCGGTACCGGTCATCATGGCAAATATCACTCAGGAGAATTCGGAAATTCCACCGCGTTCTTTGTCAAAGGAGATTTATTTTCCTGCGCTGGGTAGGTAAGTAAGTACGGTACTCGTAGACAAGACATCAATAGCAACTAAAAAAAAAAAAAAAGAACAATAAAACGGAATATACAGTAACCCTCCCATAATGGATAAAATTCAAGCTTTTTTTCTTTTTCTTTCTTTTTTTTCGTTTCTTTCTTCTCGGTCCGGGTATTATAGGTAGTCTAACTACTGTACCATACGAACATACCGATACAAATCAGGAGAGGCTCAAAAACACCAAAGTTTCGCAACGCGGGAATTTTATTTTTATTTTTTCTCTTTCTTTCTTTCTTTCTTTCCTCTGCGAGTATGATACTTATAATACGATACGATGTGATGTGCCGGTATTATATCAAGCTGGAAATCAAAACCCATCCATCCGTCCGACACGGCACGACACGGCACGACCAGTCTCTAGCATCTCAAGCGGTTCTTGCAAAAAAAAAAAAATCTTACCAAAGTAGGGTAGAGTAGAGTACCGTAACTTGAACTCCCAAAACCGTTTCGGCGAGGAGCTATCATACGAGGTGGAATTTGTTGGATTGGGTTTAAAGTTTGATTTTGTCGTGGGGTTGTGCTCGCTCATACTCATGCTGCCGGTGCTATTATAAATTACCACCACGGGTACCTGTCTACGAGTACAGTACAGTACAGTATAGAAATTTACCAAGGAATAGAAAAAAGAAATGTGAAATACGGGTTATGGTAAACGGTACGGTGATCCGCACGCCACCCGGTTGTTATTTTTTTTCTTTTTTTTTTCTTCCGATTTCTGCAACTGTGTGGATAGATAGATGGATGGATAGAGAGAGAATCCGAGCGCGGGCTAGGGTCTTTCTCTCCGGGTTCTGTGGTGATCCGGATGGGAGCAAGGGAGCAAGTCGGAATGTCCTTTTGTCCCCCCCTCCCGGGGTAGCACAATTACCGTACCTTGCCGTCTCGCGATTAGATATCCTTCCGGTGATGATGATAGCAGTAGGAGGAGGGGATTTGTTTGCCCTTCGCGGGTTGTGTGCGTGCCTATGCGTGCGTGCGTTAATGGGAGTGGAGGAGTTCAAACTAACTTACCTTATATGGGGATTAAAAAAGGTTTCGGTTACTTGTATGATACATCATACGATATAAACTTTTTTTTCCTCAAGCGATTAACGTAATGATTGACCGGAGGCCCATCAATCGGATGGGTTTTCCGTGAATCCAGCCTTTCAAGGTGAGAGGGAGGAAGTGGGAGGCCAGGTCATCCAATTAATGAGTGAGTATAGTAAAAAAGGGGGGGGAAATGAGAAAAAAAGAGTAGTGGTTCATTAAATATCACTCGCTACTATCTATCTTTCACTTTTTCTTTGTAACTGTAGTATAGTTGGCGTGTATACCGTTAGGGACCGAGTGTGTGAGGTCCGCAACTGATGATGTGTCATATCGTATGCTGGTTGGAAATTGAGGGAAATATGTGTGAACGGGGAAGTTCATCATCGTGTTGGGTGGAATGGAATGGCGGGGCAAACAGATTGGGGGGGGGGGGATGTCGGGAAAATCCGGTGAAAAAAATCGATCCGGGTATCATACTGTGGCCGGGGTTGTGGAAATACATCTCCCCGGCTGGGTCCTCCACAACAAGAGCTTCAAACCCCTACAGTCCAGTACGTGGTCACTTGAGGCTAGGAAGGGAGGATTCCGCATTGAGGATACCACGATTAGGGCTCCTGAAAATGCAGCTTTCAGGGCTGGGTTGTAGACCTGGGCTGTTGAGATCTGGGGAGAGTTGTGGAATGTTGCCCTGATGGGCTTTGGGGGAAAGAGATTTCTTCCCAGTTCGGTCCCCATACGGAATCTTTTTTCTACTCAAGCATTGAGAACGAAAGTCACAGTTTGCTATGAAAGGGATTTAAGGCGTGAAGTTCATTCCAAATTTTCAATTTTTATTAAAGACTGGGGAAGATTAAGAGGGATATCTAGCAAAGATTCACTCTCCAACGTTTCTTGTAGATACTACCTCGTTTTGCTTTTCCGATGCCCTTCTCCTTGACCCGTTTTTACTTGATCTCGGCAGTCACAGAAAGATTGTAGCTGCTTCAAGCCTTCGGGATCCTCGAGCTTCTTCATAGCTGCAAGGCTCGCTTCTACTCTGGCGGCTTTAACACTCGCCCCTGACCCGTAGGAGAAAATTTCACGGTGCACTACGATAGCAGTGAGGATATAGGTCATATCTTCTGTCGTGCACTGCTGACTCTCAAATCCCCAGGATTCGCAATGGAGGTCTGTCATTCGCCTAGCGATGTAAGTGGTTGGGTGTTGACCGGCAAAATCTGGTTTTTGTTAGCTCTTTTTAAGGGGCTAGGGATGAGGTGTATGTCTTACTGTCAAATACTGTCATATCGACAAAGTACGGAAGAATAAAGGTATTGATCAAGCGCTCGATAATACTGTATTGAAATCCGGAATCCACAAAAACAGCTCCTAGAAAGGCTTCCAGAACGTCCGACAAGGCTTCTATAGGGTCAGTTAGTATGATAGCCTGGGGTTTGTTGAAACATGTCAAGCTTACTTGGAGGGTTTTTGAGGCAAGTCCAAAAGTCCACAGCACCATTCGAGTTGGCCTTTGCTTCTTGAATGTCGACCTCGTAATCTCGGATCGCGTGGTCCAGGGCGGCTCCCACCCTTCTCAATTTCCGGTGAAATCCCATCTCCACGGAAATCATTGCAAGGAATCTATTTGACACCATTGCCATCTATATTTCTTGTTAGTGCTATTGACTGCAAGGGGCTGCCCTGCTGTGATACGGACCTTATGCTCTGTCAACCATTGAGGATCCGCATGGGGATATTTCTGGAAAATGTAACGCACACAGACGAGATCTAGCACTGCGTCACCTAAGATCTATTAGAACAAACTCCTTTATTTGCTTGGGCATACGGCTTACCTAAAAATTCTAGCCTCTGATAGCTTGGAATCCTCTCCCAACTGAATGGAAGAGAGGGATGTGTAAAAGCCGATATCAGAAGACGTGGGTACTTGAATTTGTACTTGACTAACTCTTCGATATCCTCAGCGAACTTTATCTGAGCTGGAGAGGCCTCGAGAAGCTGATATGCAGGTTTCGTGTAGCAAGTATGGTAATCGGCCCACACTTTCTGGGTGTGCTCTGGGGTTCTCAGAATTGCGGTTACCATCTGGGTAGCCCCATCTAGCCCTTTATCGGTTAAAGCTGCTCCTATCAATGCCTCACATACATCCGCTATGGATAATTTCATTCATTAGCCTGTGGCCCGGGGATGAGTTAGAAGGGAAGGAATACAAATCGACTTATCGGCCAAGCGGTGGGAAATCGCACCCTTAGAGGCATTGTGTTGGGTGGTGCCCTTTCCTATGAGTAGCTTCATTTCGGGATACCAAGTACGGCGTGAAAACCCTTCAGTTTGAATATATTCCGGGATCTTCAGCTCTATGGCTTTAGAGAAGAGATATTTGTTACACACGAGAAGCATTCGTTTCACGTGAAGCTCGAATTCATCATCTGCATGGTGCTCTATATAAAGGCTCAAAGAAGTTGCCTAGGTTTAAGAAATTTAACGGGGTTCTCGATTTGGAATGTGGGGGGACCTTACCAGTTTTAGAAAGCAATCCCCCAGAAACTCTAACCGCTCGTAATTGTTTCCCATCCCCATTTGAAGCGATACCTGGGCTGAACCGTGCTCGTGCGTATTTTCGGAATCCTTTGTGATCGCTTCCAGAGCTGTCCCTACATCTATCTCCATCCCTAAAAGACCGGAAAGCTCCCATGCGTGGAGATAACTATCAATTCGAGTGATGAAAGAGGGGAATATCATAGCCATGTGGATGACTTGGCTCGGGATCTATCTTGCTATTAGTCGTTGCGCGTCTTTATGCTAATTAAGGGGGATGGGAATATACGGTAGATATCGAAAAAGCCGAAGGAGATATTAGTGCTCGCTTATCTGTAGTCACCCATTTGCTATCAGGGGCGCTTAGATAGTTGATGCGATGAAAGTGATGTTCAGCGACAAAAACAGGCTCGGATTCTGGAACCTTCCACTTCACCCCTAGCCACTTCCGTTTTTGGGCAGCATTGTAACTATAGTCCTGTATATCAATTATGCCAGGAGGACACTCGTAACTGGGGGGGTAGGGATCCGTTGACTTAAGGGTCGGATTGTGGTCAAGTACTATAAACCTCCGGGACTTCATCCTCCGGTCAATTAGGAAGCGGCCGATTAGGTTCTCAACGGGGTAACTATCGTCCCAAAGGATACTAGCGTTTGAAGATACCTCTTCAAGAAGGTTCCAATCGAGTGTACTCTCGGGAAGACTCTCTTCGGTGAAGTTTGAACACTTAATAGGAGCGATCCAGTAAGGCACTGTATCGAGAGTAAGCTCGAAGGTTTTATTGAAGAGATCTAGGAATAGGCGATGGGTGAACTGGCAAAGTTTGGTTAGTGTGTCGGGGGATGCTCGTAGGCTCTTCGAAAGCTGTAATACGGTAAGCTCCGACTCTGCTCCCTTGTCCGAGTAAACGGGAAAAGCGGGAATTGTAGGTAGCTTCTTCCGGGTGATCAAACAGATCGGCTGGATTTCAGAGGCTATGCTAGCAGGATTAGATAGCAAAAGTATATTGAACCAAAGCTCGAGGAGTGGCGTATCAATTTTCCAGAAGTCTGGTTTGGTCCTTCTTGGGTAGATATTCGAGTTATGGATGTCCAATGCTAGGTGGGCGTTGGCCATCTTGGGGCGCTTTTTGGACCGGGATTTAGGCATGAGGTTCTCATCTAATTCACCTTTCCTTCGTAGCTCTAGGCAGGCCATGAAGGACGCTGATTGCTTAGCAGCCATTTTGGTGGGCATGGGGGCGCCCTCGATGTGCTGTACTGGGGACAAAGTTGGGAGTGTAACCTCGCTGACGAAGCCCTCAGGAACATATCTAACGGTGAAAAGCGGTCGTAGAGCCTCGTTATCCTCTTGTGCCTGGTAGTTAGTTAGCAAGGGTAGATGAGCACAAATTAGATTGGCAAAGGACACAAACCAATCGCTGAGTATAACAGATTAGGATCGTCATTGAAGAAGTCATTGTTAATTTTGCGCCAGTGCCTGGCTCGATATGATACGATTCCCCGAGACTTCCCCACACAGATGCTTCCTCTGGACCGGTAAGATCCAAGATCCGGTCACCGGGGAGACTGCAACAAAAGTCTCGCATGATTTTCTAGAGCGCCCATTAGAATGGCCTATGATTTCTGGATTGGCTGGATATATCTACCTCCGAATTCCGAACATCGTTCAGCATTTCCAGATGGCTGCGGTTTCCACTCTCGAGCATATGAATGTACTGTACTCATTTAGCTAAGCCACAAGACATCCACATTGAGATATATTATACCTTGGAAACGGAACTTCGGGCGCGCCCTCTAGACTGGACATATTGGATCATAGTGTGGTATAAGTCGAATCTATTTCAATGAGCAATCGAGTCCCAAACGGTACTAGGAATATGCCAATAACAAACCTAATGACTAGACTACAATCGGGGATATCTAGACCTTCTTCTGCAACCGATGTGGCTATTAAGCAATTCAGTTTGCCTTGACGAAACTTACTCACTGTTGCCATCTGCTCCCGGAAGCTCAAATTCGCCTCTCCAGCTCCAGGGCGAGAAACGGAGCCAACAAGTATCCCAATTTTCAAATGCTCGATTTCGAGTTTCTTGAACAATTCACCCAAAATAGTAGCGGTGTATCTGCGGGAGACAAAGATAATGCATTTATCTTGAGCCTCCACACTATAGATTTCTTTCAAATAAGCGTGAAGTAGCAAGACTTTCGCGCTGAGGTGTTTTGCATCAGCAGACGGTGGCGGAATCTTGTACTTGCGTACCATATCTGCTGCCTCCTGCAGATATGAGATATCCTTTTCAATCCTCTTAATCCTCTCGACATCTGGTTGTTCCTCCAAGTTCTTCTCCGCCCTACGTTCGAGCTTTCGTGTTTGCGATTCGCTAAGTGCAAAATTCCACGCGACATCTGCGCACCATGGTCCAAGCTCCGAAGCTGCTAGCTCGGCGAATGCGAAGATCTTGGAGAAGCAATCCAAATGTCCATACTCTTTATGAAGTTTTTGACAAAGGTCTGTTTTAAACTTGGGCCTTAGTGTTGGATAGGTCGTGACTGCTTCCTCTGGGCGACTGATGGAGCCTTGAAGCAATGATAAATCACTAGTAGTAGCAATCTGGCTGTGCAAAAGTTTCTCCAGGTCCCTATCAGTTTGCAGGTTTAGCCAATACAATTATATCATTTTACTTTGGGTTGGGATACAAACGCTGCTGCATGTACTACGTCTGCACGGGAACCAACAGGGGAAGCTGTCATGCCGAAAATTTTAGGTCTGGTGTTTTCTGGCTCGGGGAGGTAGAAATCTTTGATAATTCGGGCAAATGAATGTCGCTTTTTCGCGTGGTGAGCTTCGTCAAAACATAAAAGATTGATGTCTTGCATTTTGATGAAGGCATGCACAAGACAACTATAGAGGATATCCGCTGTCATTACGATCACCTAAGGAAAGTGACCGAGCGAGCATTAGCGAGTGACACACCCAGACAAAATGTATAGCAGCGGTACCTGTTGTTTCTCAAGGACATCATCCCAAGTTTCTTTCTTCCAATCACCGGCTCCCATATCACCGCAGTATTCACCTATTCTGGCGTCGATATTACAGCGTAACACTGCGGCTTGTTGAAAGACTAAAGTAACACTGTGAACTAGGAAAAAGCTGACACGGGGGTGATTGCCAGCCGCCCGTGATTCCAATTCCTTCTCAATGATATGACGAATCAGTAGGCAAGCAATAAGCGTTTTTCCAGAACCTGTTATCCATTAAAAATGTCAATCAAGTATTGTAAACCAGGTCTTAGGAACCCACCAGTGCCGAGAACGGCGATTGTGTTCCTGGTCTTTGCAATCTCGAATAGCTCTAGTTGATACTCTCGTGGGTCGCTAATGATCTTCTGGCCCTTCAATGCCATCGTTTTTAAGCTCATTTCCTCCTCAACGATCTCCTTTTGTTCCAGCGTGTATTGAAGATTTATTTCTTTGGACTTTTCATCCGCCCTATCGGTGCGGTTAGAGTCGGGTCCTAGCCACTTTCTCGAAGGGGATGCTCACCACTTTAAAAAATCACCTTGACGTTGGAGACGGTGTTTAGACATACGCTTACCCGATCCCTTAGGCTCCGGAATCAGTTCAAGCGTGGACTCTGATTCTCCAGTGTCACTTGGATCAGAGTCTCCGGCTTCCTCCCGGAGCTTTCCTGGGTTCCTAAAGTTTTTTTGTATTGTGTTTTCGATAGGGCCTAGAGAACTGATCGGGATTGGGGGGCATGGAGCAACAGTTTCTAGAGTGATAAGATCACTTTCGTGGTCGAACTTCTTCTGTTCTCCAGAGTGGAAAATGTTCGCGGAAAACTTTGGTAAAACTTGATCTGTGTCGAGTGAGAGTGAGATTGGGTGATTCCGGGTGTCAGAGGCAGCTTCACGAAGAAACGTACCGTGTACTGGAATGAGTGATTCCAGATCCTTCATGTATCCATTACCATTTATCCAAGGCTGCTCTTGTGCAGTGGCGGGGCCTAAATCGAGAAGCAGGTCCGCTGGCTCTGGAAAAACCGTCTCTTTTATGGGGGTGCTCTGCTGTTCCGGTAGTGCTGGGCGGCGAACTGCAAACATATTAGCTTTGGAAGTTTGCCCTTTGGCTGCTTTCCCTTTTTTTGGGGTTATCGATGGCTTCTTTGGTGAAAAACCTGAATTGAGCCAAGGCCAATCATTTGTGTCTGATTTGCCCCCAAGGATAATATCCATGATTGGGGTTTGAGTAGGAAAGGACCGGTGAGTTTGGAAAAGGAGGTTTCGAGTGTCGACTTATTTTCGATCAATTGATGATGCAAGGGGGCTGTCGCTGTTAGTGGGTGACCAAATGCGTGAGAGGGAAGAGGTAAGGGTGTTGATGCCGATGGGAAGGGGGGGGAGGAGTGGAGGGAATATGGGTTTATTGAGAGAGTAAGGGTCACGGCCTGGAAAGGGGTGCGCTAGAGAGTGACGGAAACAGCCAGAGCAAACCTTCGTGCACCGCTCCACCCCTGGGACCCTCTTCGAAGTTCACAACTACGGCATCACGAACAAAAGGTCGTGTGAACTTAAAGCCACGATTTTGGCTCTCTGCATTGCAATTACAGATTTGCAATCTTGAGACGTACAGGTATATTATGTCGCGTTGGATTTCTTGGTGTTTAGGAAAAATTGTTTTTCTATCGGGTTGTGAACTAATTGCCGCTGAAGGGTATCTTGGGAGGACGCGTCGCACCGTGATAAATTAACGCCATCACCTGGCGATAAGCGTTCTTACCTAGATAAGATCTGTGTAGATTAGATTAGATCGGATAATCAACCATTCATTGTCGCTACTGACTTTAGCTAGAGAAAATCCACCCGTTGTGCTCGTGCACCGCCCCCCACATCGAAGTTCCGCCGACCGCTCACAACTCCAAACAATTAGATCCACCATGAGCGAGAGCCAGGAATCTCTTCGATCCCTCTACGATTCTGGGGAGCGCCTTCGGAAAGAGGTTGAGGATTCATACGATTACAACAGCCCCGGTTACCAGCAAAAATTGGAGACTGCTGTCCGAACATACCAGGAATGCAAGAACCTTGTTGATCAAATATCTCTATTCAGCACAAATGAGTCATTAGAAGATGTTGCGTCATCAGAGATAAGGTAAGAGTTGTGGAAAGTTATGGATCGGAAGGCTAACGACGTGAAGATACATGCTTATAGGCTATCACCTAGCCAATCTCACCTCCAGACAACAGCCACCGGATCGTGTTTCTGTATTGAAACTGTCGAAGTCCCTATACCTGGGATTTTTAAACCTATGTGACGCTTATGATCTACTGTCAAATTCCGATAGAAGCGTACTACGGCCGGCTGGCCCAGGAGCACCTAAAGCCCCTTCTGCCCCTAGCGACGCAGCAGCAAGGAGGAATGAAAAAATTGCGAAATTCAAGCTGGAGAAAGAATTGAAAGCTAAAGTGGATGTCGGTGCTTCTTTCCGGGCAGATCGATCGAGATGTTAACAAATTTATAGGCACTTGCACAGAATCCTCACTTATTGGATGAGGATGAGTTACGGAAACTCCAGGCTGCGTCAATTTCATTGGCAATAATGAAGAGTATTCAACAACTTGAGATGATAGACCTTGAGCTTGATATTCTTAGCAAAGCTCCCAAGCCCGATGAGAACCCCGTTGCGCACCAAGCCCAAGATGAACGAACTAGAGACTTGGGCGCAAGGGACGGCTACAGCGATAAGCTGGATAACATTCCGTCGACTATCAAAGGCGGGCCGCTTCTGTCCCAGAACGGAAAGCCTCTGCGCCCCTTCACACTCTTGGATAGTCGGGAGCGACTAAAACAGGGTGTCTTTAAATCAGGACACAATCTTCCGACTATGACAATTGATGAATACCTTGAGGAGGAAAGAAAGCGGGGTGGTATCATTGAGGGCGGAGGGTATCAAGTGCCCCACGTCTTTTTTTTTTGCAATACTTGTAGCTAACGGGAATGTAGCGAGAAATCGGGAATTAAGCCGGAGCCTGATGAAGATGATCATGAAAGGGCTGATGGAGAAACTATGAAAGCAAGGGAATGGGACGAGTTTAAGGAAGCCAATCCGAGGTTTGCGGACCCCTTCCTGGAATGCGTATATCTTGAGCCTAATTATTCTTTAGGGGATCCGGAAATACGATCAATAGGGGTTAAGCTTTTGATGGTCTAAAGACATACTATAACGGCTGGGGATTTGCGCGTGACAAAAGAAGGGGAAAACAACGGACAGGGCACAAGGCGTGAAACCGGGAAATGCATGGAATAAAAAAAATAAAATAGACGGAAGTCAGTACATACAAAACAGTGCAGATAGCAGCTGAAAACTTTCTGGGGAAATGTTCCGTAAATGAAGCACTTGCAAGGTTTTTATAAGTCACTTATCCATACATAGTGTAGCACTCGTGGGTACCGGGCATCACCATCCCTGACAACCCCACTCTTTGTATTAGTATCTACAGTACTCGAGATCCCTGAAAACCGCCAGTACGGGGGGTTGTGGGTAAGTCTGTCGAAGTCCCGCTCATTGGCTCCAGGCGATGTCGACCACCTAGAGAGCAGCATTTGCTCCAGCCTTGCTCTAGCCGCTGTGCCAAGAGTTCGACAGACTTTTTTCCTTCACCAAATTGTGAAGGAAGCCACCAATTATGTGTTCTTGGAGGCTTCCATACACATACAAACTCGGCCTATGAGAGCAAAGTTCGACAGACTTTTGCGCACACCCTAAGTACAAAAAGCCCGGAAAGACAGCGCTAAAATGCACTATGAGACAAATGCCCGGAAAGACAGCACTAAGCTAGGGTGGGTTGAAGGAGATAAAGGGCCGGGGGGGAAGAAAATAAAATAAGAGCGGAAAAAAAGAAAAAAAAAAAAAAAGGAAAGGGTAAGGGGCAAGTGGTGAGCTTGGATGCTGGAAATAGAAAATGTGATATGTGAGGGGAGAATAAAGTTACCCTACCTTGATGAAATATGAAAAGGTTACCCTGCCTGATCTCTAGGTAGTTACCCTACCTGAGCCCAGATAATTATCCTACACATGCTATCTCCTGGACTGTTGAGACAGTGCAAAATGTTGTGCCGCCCCTGTCAGTGTCTAAGACAGAGATGACTAAGGTGCTGTCACAGTATTCTTGGGTGATGATGTGTGTAGGTACAATCATGTAGCTAAGTTTAGCTATGGTCTAAAGTTTGTACCTCTGCAAATTTGTAGTAATTAATAAAATTTGCTTATTAACCTGTGTCTCAGACACTTGCAGGGGTGGAATAACATTTTGCACTGTCTCAACAGTCCAGGAGATAAGTAGTTACCTTACCTAAAGCAACTTCAATTCATACTAGAAAATAGCTCTGGAATCTCTTTGTGATTATATTGTGTGAATTAAGTCCTTCTCATCAAGTTAATTTGTAGTTGACATATAGAGACGTGGATATTCTGTCTGATGACTGTAAGTATGTACTAGAACATTGTGTAAGAATTCTGAGTCAATCAGATAAGCAAATATCTAGCCTTAGACTACAACTCCTTTACAAGATACTTTCTAATATGTGTAAAGAGTTAGATTACTTTAGATTGCCATTACCTTTATCTGACTTAAACTATAGTCTTTATAGTTAACATCAGAATAGGTTACTACATGATCAGATATCATAGAATTATGTAGAGTTAAATGTAATGCTTTAGAGATATGAACCACAGTTAAATTCTATACAGAGACATGCATTTCAAGTAGTCCTAAGATTAGTAGATATTAATACCATGACTGGAGATATATTTTTCCTTAATAGGTTAGGAGGAACAGGAAAGACATTTTTGGAGAATACAATTCTTGCAAAAATTTGAAGTCAATACAGGATTGCTTTAGTGGTAGTATCTAGTAGTATTGTAGCAATACTACTGTAAGGAGAATAAACAACACATTAAACTTTCTGAATTCCCTTGATTTTAAACAATCAGTCTATTTGTTCAGTTAATCATAGATCTCCTCAGGCTAAGGTTTTTCTTTAAACCTCACTTATTATTTGGGACAAAGTAACTATGTAATATAAATATACATATCATGCAGTTTCAAGGATGTTGTCAGATATTCATCAAGACTCTCACTATTTTGGAGGAATAACTATACTTTTTACTAGAGATTTTAGACAATATCTTCCAGTTGTTTCTGGTAGCTCTCAATCACAAATTATCAACTCTACTTTAATGCATTCTACCTACTAGCCTCAGATTCAAGTCCTACAGTTAGTGGAAAATATTCGTCTAATATATGCCAATATGACTCTTGAAGCTTATATAATAGTAAAAGAATATGCTGATTATATTCTCCAAATTGGAACTGCAACTAAGTCTTCTTCTGTTCTCAATCATATTACTCTTTTTTCCAATAATACTTTTTTCTAATAATAGTATAATATACAAGGTTTAATGGAGAAAATATATCTACTTAGTCTTTTTGCCTCTTCTTTGAATCTGTCAATTAAGGTTTTAGCTGAAAGAGCCATTAAAGCAGTATGAAATATTAATGTGGACTATATCAACAATAATCTTCTTATTTACCAAACCAGTAATTCAGCTATCAAGACCCATCTTAGTACCAATACTGTTTCTGATGCCATGAGAAACAAACAATGTATTCTTCTGAGTATCTTAATACATTACAACTCCTAGAGTTTCACCACATTCATTATATCATATTTAAAAGTCAGTACATCAGTTATGCTTTTGCAAAATCCAAATCCATGTCAAGGTGTTAGGCGGCAGCCAATTCTAAGTCAGGCGAATTGTAACTGGGGCCAATTAGGTTTCTCGGAGAGTGGTCAAGAAAGCTTGTAATAAAAGTAGGTATCAAAGTATAACGAATATATTGATAAGATCTCTTCTCCGTTCGCTGATGATTCTGAAAGCTAAGGATTTTTTGTTTTTTGTTTAACTCATTGATTATTTGTTTAGGGTACAAAAAACGTATGAAGCGCTAGCTATGACGACAAAAAACCCATATCCCTCCTCTCGCCACAGGAAAAAGCCAACCCCCCAAGCCCCTCTGGTATGGAGCCAACCGCACATCTCGCCTCAAAGAAAAGAAACCCAAGCCCGGCTAGATGGACGAACAAGGAAATCCTAACTAAGAAGAAAGCAGGAAGGGCCAGGAAAACCCGCTGAGAAATCCCAAAAAGACAAAAGAAAGATTAGTAGCAAGCCACGTAGGCCCCGAAGGGCGAGTCCACTCATTCAAGCGGGAAGCGACGCATGAAGCGCGCTAAGATAGGGGGCCCCCCCCAGACCCACTCCAAGGAGACAGTGCAATACCATGGAGGGAAGGAGGAGACCAGCCGGCCGTGGGCGATAACCGGGGGGAGGGGAAGGTGTAGCAGTAGGGTGCCAGCCGATCCGACCGTAGGGAAAGGAGTGCGGAGGGGTAGACCCAAAGACCTTGAACATCGTCTATCGGTATCGCGTTCGTGTCTGACTAGGCAGCCTCTTAGGGGAACAAGAGAATGGGGAGATCGACCGTAGCCTGTTGGCTGTTCTCCCCTACTGCAACTGTAGTCCCGGCCGTCTGACGATGGTGGTTAAGGGGTTGCCGACCGTGAGAAGGCTAAGCGAGGCCAACTCAAGAGGAGGAGAGGACTCCCCACCACGCGTGGGGGGAGGAGGAAGGGGGAGTAAGGAAGATCATCAACGGCCGCCTGGGCAAAGCATAGCAGGTGTTTTACCGCGTCTCTCATGTAGTCCCTTGTTCTGGGAGAGATAGCGTCACTGTAGTGGAAGGGATCCCACCACCTGCTAGCCAGCCGAGGAGGGCCTCCGACCGACCAACCCCCAGGGAGAGAGAGGGCCCTGCGACGGTAGACCGAAGTCAATACCCCGGGCGTGAGAGGAGAGAAGAGCCAGACTCCCCTAGGCCGAGGCCAAAGGCAGGAGTGGGCGGGAGGGTGGAGAAAGTTTCGCGATGAAACAAAAAACTCACGATAAAAACCGTGGTATTGAGTTTTCAATCGCCGGAGGTGTAGCGGAGACGGAGGATGTTCTGAAAGCTAAGGAGGCACCTCGATATTTATATTCCGCGTCTGGGTGGTCGCGGGCTACATCTATCTTATACCAAATAATGTACCCTTTCCATTTTCCTACCCTTACTTCCGTAATGGGCATCTGTTTAACCCTGATAAACTTTGTGTCTTGCTCGGACTACGGTCTCCATGCGTTGTCGTCTTTCCGTGAGGGCGTTTGAAACCTCTCCGGCGAAAACGCATGATTCCTTCGTCTCGGAGGTTTAAGTACGAACGAGTGGTCTCGCTTCGAGCCAACTCGCTGTCCTCCTAACTCTGACTGGAGTGATCAGCTCCGTCGAGAGACTTATCAATGCACCGTTGACTTCGCAACTTGACTGCATCAACATTGAGGACTTTCCGCCACGATCGGACTAGTCAACGTCGTGGGAAAGTCCCTCAACCATAGATAGGCCTCCAGTTGGCGCTATACTATGTGAGCGTTAGACTGGGCCCCGTGCCTCGTCCATACGGGCACGTCCCGATAACTCATTGGACTGTTGGTGATTTTGTCCCAACACTTTCTGTCCATGTCTGCAATGGTCGATCTCGCTTAGCTCGTAGCTCCGTGGTTACCCGTCCGATTGACTCCATTCCACTTTTCAGACACGGCCTGAGGTCCCCTCTTATATATCCTGCGAACAGCTTTCGGTCGGACGGACGGCGACGACGTATACGGTGTTATGAAGCATGCTTCGTTTCAACCGGTTTATACTGTCGGGACACCAAATTCCGGCGACTCTACTACTGCGCGCAGGGCGAACGGCGGGGCCGGAGGGGGGTGTTGGCCATGGATTTTTCGCGGTTTTCAGGAGGTCTGTGCGCGGGGAAGGTCTGTGTGTTCATATGTGTAACACAAGATCTTTGTAATAAAACAATGCTTAAGATCACAGATCTTTTACAAAATCTAATATATAGTAAGTTTTATTAATTCATACGATTTTTTCTAATTGAGTATATTATTATTAAGATTATACTAATATGATTTTAAATTTTGTACTTTACAGGTATTATAATGATAGGCATAAAGGCTGGAACTGAAGTCATAATTCTATAAATTCATATCTCTTCCCAAGAATCACAAGATATTTCCATAAACCTGATTTGACTTCAGTTTCCAATTTGGTTAATATATACAATGACTATGAATGAGGTACCAGGGCAGTCATTAGAACATGTTGGAATTAGTTTATGTGAGGAGGTATCCGGACATGAGCAATTATATATTGCATTATCAAGAGCAATAAGTAGTGAAAGGATCAAAGTATTTATATCTGATTCAGTATATAAAGGAGAAAATTTGTACAAAAATATTATGTATTCTGAGGTTTTTCATAATTATTATATAAGTTTTTCTATTTTTTTTTTTTTTAATATCTCTGCCTTTTCTACTTTATGATTTGATTGTTCTCTTTTATATTCTGTTTACTTTTATCTCCTACCTTTCTTATTTGTCCTCACTGAATTTGTCCATTCATCTTTTCATGTGATCTTATTTTCTCTTTTACTTTGATTATTTCTTAAGACTTTAATTTTTCTTATTAATGGTTTTTTTTTCAATATATATCTACCATTAAATTTTATAGGTAAATTGCTATTTATCAAATATAGTAATTACTTAAAACCACGCTCCATTTCGGCCCCGTGTGGTAACCACACGGGTGACTATCTCGTATGGTATAGTACTCAAATCGAGACGGCGTTCAGCATCGTATCCCAGAACAGATTGCAGGGATTAGTGCCTTCCCCCGTAGACGCTAGCACTTTTGACACTCCCGAGAGTGGTGCTGCAGGTACATGACACTGCCAGTGCGGTATGATATCATACTCTGCCTTTCGCCGATCCGCCAGGTCCGGGGGTAAGTGCCGACTCTAATCCGACGTCCGCCAAGGGGTTCGACCCATATTCGGCTGTTGGATCGGGCTTGAACCAGGATAGTCTACCGGTAGACTTAACTTCGATAGCGGAGTATCCCACGGTACAGTAAGTTACCCTTATTATTATTCTAGCCGTAAAAATCATCGCTTTATTGTTTTTTTTCTTTTTCCCCAAGGAATTACTAAAGTGCAGACACCTCGTGCTTCTTCTCCACTACACTACCGTACAATACCGTTTTTCAATATCGGGGGAAATGACATCGATTAGATGGTTTGCGAGGGGGAAAAAAAAAAGTTGAAGGTTGCGGTAGTGGTAGTGGGACTGTTTGGCAGGCATTTTTCTCCGCCCAGCTTTATGATATTTTTGTTCGCAATCGAGATACTGGCATTTACAGAGCTTATCGGGAAGATCCCCGCTTCTCCGCAAGGCTATCGAAAGATCGAATGTGAGCCCGAAATCAATCGGGTGTCATATCATACCGACGCCGCCCTCAGCGGCAGACTGTACCGTGTTTACCGGGCTCGAAGACAGTGTGGCGCTGTACAGTACTCGTACTGTACTGTACTAGTACAATCTCAATTCCCCTCTGTTGGGTTACCGCTTCGACCCCAGTTATTGTAGGTCCCTATTCGGCACGATAGAGATAGAGAATACTAGAAAAGAAAAGAAAAACGCGGATTTTTGGTGAGAATGGAAAATTCTTTGGAATAAAGGGAAAAAAAATAGGTTTTTTGTTCTTTTTGCCTCTTTTTATTTCATAATAATATTATTATGGTGAGAAGGTGATATTAAAGTGAAAAAAAAGAGGAAATAGGGTGTTACTAATCCGTGGTATTTTAGGGGGCTACCGTATATTGGATACAAAAAATTGCCACGGGAAGGAATGTTGAAACCCGCTATGTCTGGACCTAGTGTTTTGGTGCTCTCGCCACCATCTGTTTATGTTTGGGAAGCTCTTCATGTGTTTGGCGGGTTTAATTTGTTAGGATTGAAACTGATGATCATTCTTTCATGGTCATAATTATTATTCTATAAGAAGTCTGGTATTTTGCCTTCTCCCTCTGATTATTGTGCCAAGTTATTCCTTTTCATCATCACTCCTTAGGGTACATCTGGTTGTCCGCGGGTTCAGAAAGTGCTAAAACCGTAAAACACAGGTTGTACCCTACAACTCTAGTTATCCCAAGTTAAATTTAGCATAATCCACAGAAATATAGGCCAAGGCATTGTGTCTGGTCAAAACTTAGTCAAGCCAAGAAATATACCCTGTCCGTTCCCCACATACTGGATATTGTGAAAAAAACAAAAATAAAAAAGTTATTTAAGAAATACAATAAAATAATATTAGGAGAAGACTTGCATTCGGGCTCAATAACTATTTTTCTTATTTTCCTGATACCTATTATTGAGAGTGGCAGTGGTGCCACTACGATGCCATGATACATGTTAGGAAGACTTTTCATTATGTGGCTTCGTGGGAGATGGGTTTTTCCTATTTTTCGGAAAGCTTCCTTTTGGGCTCTTTGAGAATTGTGTCTTGGTGTCAGCCAGACATGCTGGCTGCTCCAGTGCAAATAGAATTTTGCTGCAAACCTCTATAATCATGCTCGAAATGAAGGTTTGGCGTGGCAAACCGGACTCACCCTTATTCCTTTCGTCACGCTCTCGGTTGTTCTTAATCAGAAGTGAATGCACCGGTAATCTCTTCGTTTGCCGTTCTCGAGAACATGTGGTGCTGTACTTACCCTGAGCCGGATGTGCGTACGAGTACATAAAATAAGGCACTTGAAAAAAGCAACAACAAAAAAAACAGAGAATGGAAATGCGAGGGGGTATTTTTCTATGATAATTATCATATCATACCTGCCAAACGCCCTTCGAGAATTTTAGTTTGATTTAGAGAAAAAAAAAAAAAGAAAGGCTGGCAGTGAGTGAGAGAAAAGCCCAACTTTTCACACGTAGACTACTAGACAGTGCCTAGATAAAGGTATCCGAACTCTCAGTTTACTGAGCGGGCTTTTTTATTTTTATTTTTTATTGGATAGTTTATCCAATAATTTCCAGGAACTTGACTTATCGAACCCCCCTCTGGGAAGGAAGTCACGAGGACGTCCCCGGAAAGCAAGAGTCGGTATCATAATTGGAGTTCTACCAGATCTAACCACCCACGTTACCGACCCTACCGCTTAAATCATTAGTTGGAGGTGTCGGACACGAATCGGAAACCTGCCGGCACAGCGCTCACGCTTAGATTGACATTTCTTTTCTGATTGCTTTTTGCTCTGTCGAAATACAACCATGTCGATAAGTATAGTGCTTGATTTCGTATTTTAATCATAGGTGGAAGTGATATTATCTGAGACTGGGGGGTCATGAAAGTTTTGTCGTCAATACTTTTCGTCTCATGATGCAAATTTGTTTATCAATTTTATTGATCTGATCATGGCGTTGGAGACCTTTGCCGTTTTCTTTCGTTTTTATTTTTGTTTTGATAGGGCGATGCTTTCTGGCTTGACCTAGTGATATCATAGGTGAAACATCGATCGTGTATGCATGATGGTAGAAAAATAACACGGAGGTTATATCATCTCAATTGGCCTACGATATGATACAGAATAACGATTTTCCACAACGGAATTATATATTGATATATATATATCATACATGAAGAAGTGTTCTCTCTCCCTTCTACCCATAGAGTTAAGTCACAGAATATCACGCTTTGATATTTAAAGAAAAGAAAAAAAAAGTCGCGTCACACTTGCTTTCCCCGACTATGAGCAAAGTGAAATAACTTGGGAGGGGAACCGGCTATTAGCAGAAGTTGGGTTTTTGGGAGAAAATGGCATCGAATTTAAAAGGTGAGCTGCCAAACAGTGCTTGAATAGAATGGTGGATGGAGGTTTGCTGGAGCCAGATTTATCGAATCTGTCATGCTATGCCTTAGACATTAGGTCAAACCAAGGACGATCCGGGGGTCACGGGCCCAGCATGCGCACCTTGTACCAGGATAGCCCAAGAGAATCTAGATGTATCCACCACAGACTCTCTAAGAATACTGTAACGTTGCAGGTATCATTCCAGTACTCACCCAGTCCCACGGTTTGTATCTGGTTCTTTGCAGATTCGATTTCTAGCAGAGTCGAATCGAAGAGTAAAGAGAGGGCACCAGCTACTGTATATCGCTATTCAGCTATGGGATCTTCATCCTTTCTATGGAGTTTCCCTAACTAATTGATAATCCGGAGACCTCAAATTCGTGGATAATCGAGCAGTGTGCTGTGTGGTCGAGCCTCTCCTACTGTGGGAGGGGAGGGCAAAATACTGGGAAAGAAGAGTTTCTCAGCGCTCTGAGAGACAAAAAGACCAGGTCTTATCACAGGTAGTGACTCAAAGGAAATGTCGCATACCTCGAACTTCTTAATTTTTACTGCGCTGTAATATACCCCCAACGGCCCTCTACAGACTGGTCTCGGTGAAAACCTTCCAAGTGTGAGAGCAAACCATCGTAATTTATTGACTATCATATCGTGAGTCATCCTAGAACAAAAGAAATTTCGTGATATGTATTTCATGGTAAAAAAAAAAAAAAGATGCAGACTTCTCAAAGCACAATATGATCGAAAGCAGAATGGTAGCAAAAACAGATATTGTGGGAGATCAAAGGAAAAGAAGAGGTAGGGGCCGGAAAAATAAGGTATAGAGCATCTAGAAAGGCGGAAAATTTCAAGAGGGAACGGAAGGGGGATGAGGGAATATGGTACATGGGATAAGGATAAAGGTGGTGCAGGAAAAGAAAAAAAAAACGAATTCAGCGGGATACACAAGCCATGTTCCATGAATGAAAATAAAAATACAAAGCCATGGGTACTCACTGAAAGTTGACAAAAAGTTAGAAAAAAAAAAAGATAGGAATGAAACCTCCACAAAAATAGCGTGAAAAAGGTGCAGAAATTGAAATGTATCCCCGATCGTTCGTCTTTCCACCAGTTCAAACGACTTAACTGCCTGCTAGTCCGCTAATAATTAGATCGCCGAATTATTCTAGATTCACTTCACAAGGGGAGAAACCGACTTTTTCAACTATGAAATATCTAGTTTGTACCTTCTCTGGAAGGGGGATATTGTTGTTGGTGAAGGGAGCTGGCATATGGCGGGTACCGAGGGCCAACATACTGAAGGGTAGCAGGATCGTACCCAATCGACATGACACTATCTCTCGGAATGTCTGCTAGTGCAGGAGTCGCAGGAGCAAAGGGATACCCACTGGGGAACTGAGGCTGGGGAAAGGACCCAGAGTAGAATTCGTAGTGGCTCTGCACAGGGGTTGGTTGCTGAGTAGGATACTCGTTAGACAAAAAGGGTTGCGGGTTGGAAGCCTCATTGAAGTTGGCATCGGTAAGATTCTCCAACTTTAAAGTACCGGCTTTAGTTCGAGGAGAAACGGCCTCCGATATGACTGAAGGGTGGCCAGCAGAGATCCTCTGTTGCCTAACAGCCCCCCAATTCCCATGCATCTCGTCGGCATCTGGGAGTTCCTGGTTTGGGAAATTGTAGCCTTGACCCGGATTATGATATTGTGGAACATAAGGGGTGTATGGAGGAAATGGGTATCCAGTCGGGGAGTTGGGTGGATAGGGGTGCGGCGCCACCGGGAAATTTCCAGGATGGCGGGAAGCCATCACATGCGAACCATACTATTGCCTCTTGTTAGCTTTGGGGGCATGCTCTGGGGGGGGGGGGTGAGCTTACATGATTGTGGTAGTTCATGACGTGAAATTGCGGGATAACTGGGATCACCGGACTGGCAATGGAGAAGTGACGTTCTGGGTCCATTTGATCCATATGAATGCTATTAGAATAGTGCAGAGTCGGAGCGAGGGAGACACCTTGAAACTGATACTGCTGGACTAGTGGATATTGGGGAATTTTGTTGGGAACCTCTGGCTCTGTAATAGCCTCGGTGGTAAGGCTGGTTTCCCGTTTATACCGATGCCCGGCTGGTATCCCGATAGTTTGTGGCTTGTAGTGTATTTCCCGTTGCTGGACATGGATTTTTTTACCCATCAATTCTGATCCATTCTGATCGCCGTTAGCTAGAGGTAAGATTAATCCTCAAGGCGCGGGCTAGGAAACTTACCTCGGCCGCGATGGCGGTATCCGCCATTTTTTCTGTCTCGTATCGTATGAATGCGAACGTATTGATGCCTAATCCGAAGCGCGTTAGTAGCGAACATATATCTGATGATTCAGAAGCCGTGCCTTGCTTGGCCTGCCTTTTGACCAAATTGCAATCGATGATCTTCCCGTGTGCGGAAAAACGGGCCCTGAGCTCGTTATCTGTTATCTGGGGGTTGAGTTTTCCGACAAAGATTGAGAATGCGTCGATCTCGGTGTGCTGGTCACAGCGCAAGGCCATGCTCATGTTCTGAGCAGAAAAATTGCTTGTCCAATCGGAGACCCAGTGACTATTGAGACGCAATGACTATGATTGAAAGCGAATGTCAGCACCCAAGAATGAACATAGGAGAACGTAGGTCGGTTATACCTGAAAACTATCAACTGCATCTTGGCGGAACTGAAATCTAACATAGCATTTGTTTCCTGATGTTAGACCAAATAATGGCATGGTTGTTGAGCCATTGGTAAATTCGACAGACTCCAATGGGCCAAATCCATGCAGCATATCAACTACCTCGTGGCCGTGAAAGATACTGCTGTCGCTCTTGCCGAGCACGAGGGTTCTGTTGACCTTTGCCGGCTCACAGCGTATTGGCCGACCAGAAGAATCGATAATTCTAGCTCTGCCCTCCCTAATGGCTTTTCTGGCAACTTCATCAGTCTAAACCGGGGTTAGTTCTGATCACTTAGGTACCGGAGGGCATGACCATACCTCAAATTGACAGAAACTGTAAGGATTCCCCTTACTGTCCCTGCGGATTTTGACGTGGAGTCGGCCGAACTTGGAAAAATGGGCTTGAAGGCTTTTCATTAGCTCCTCATCCGACTGGGTAGCAGCGAGACTATTATATAGTTAGGGAATCAAGAGTCCTGAATTCGGGTTTAGGAATATGACCCACTTTGCCACAAAGACGCATGCTGAGGGTAATCCACGTGCTGCCAGATCCTCGGGGCCTCTCTCAATTCCGGCCTCCAATGTTTCAAAGTCTATATTCGCTTGTGTAATTTGAAGATTGGCCTCCGGTAATAGGGTGATAGGGTTATCCTCATGAGGAGCGAAGAACTCTGTGTCGTTATCAGATTCGGAATCCTTAATTTCAACCTCCCGTGATTGATTGAAAAGGACTCTCGAGAATTGCCTATTGCTCTCTCCGCCCAGGTTGAGAGGAACAGAATGCAGAAAGGATGGCAAGGGGTCATCGCCATCTTCAAGGCTCGACATTGTCTTCCCACGGCGTCTCAGACTAAGGGCTCCTATCCCATGGGTGATCAGCCAATTGTGCAAAAATTAAGGAGACAGTCTTTTTTTCCCCATCACATTGTGAGGTAGTAGATTAGGGAGATAGATTCCCAATAATCCGTAACAGAAAGAGAAAGGGACGAGCACGGAATTTCTCTAGGCCCCATTGGGGTAAAAAGATTCTTGGGAAGCGATGTGTCTCATTTCCCGCGGTCATGAAAACGGTGAGCCCTGAGCCCCAACACGAGGGGAGAGATGTGGGGGAAGGGGATAAAAAAGGGAAAAAAAAATCAGGGCCTAGGGAAGCAAACCATATCCTAAGCATCATAAATGGCGGAGTACGCGGGAAAGATTAGATATGCAGACTCACAATGGTTGGGGAAAAGACCAACTTGATCTTGTGGGAAATAAGAATGAGATTGTCAGAGACTTACCTCCTGGTAGCCCAGCAGTTTGGGGAGTGGATGGCAGGTCAACTTCATCTTCGCTACTAGACTCAGGCCTATTTGCTCCTAAATTAGCAGATAGGGAGCGAGGCGAACGTTTGATATGACTCCTCCGAGGAGTGACGGGGATGGCAGAATTCTGTGACATTTCCTTTTGTAGTGATGAAATTTTGGCTAGAGATGTGAGTGAGAAAAAGGGTTAACGGAGTTAGGAAGAGCAAAGGGGGGGGGGAGGAAAGTGGGGGCGGAGGCAAAGGGTAGGGGGCCGCGGAGGGCCCTGCAATTAATTCGTAGTGATTCTTGTGATGGCAGTCGCCGAGTGAAAAGGTAGGGGATTGTTCTGGCCAGCCGGCGACTCACCAATGAATTTAGTAATTGGCAAACAAAAGCCTGTGAGGAAGGTTTCCGGAAGAATTGAAAGAGTGATCTAGAGAGCGTGACAGTGCAAGCTTCACAGTCGAGGGTGACGAGGAGTGATGAGGGTGATGAGTGATGATGGAACTAGGTTAGAGGGAAGGGGGAGTAGAGACCTTCTGACAAGTGATTTAGAGTGAGGCGAGAGGGGGGGAGGAAGGGAAGGGAAGGCTAGCGTAGGCTTCTCAGAGCGGTGCCGCATGGGGAGACGTAATCACGGTGTGGGACTAATCACCCCCAGAATTTTGTCCCGATTCCCCGGGTGTGCGCTGGCCGGCGTGCCATCCCACTGCTTGAGCGTACCGTCATATTGGGGGTGGAGCAGAGACGCAATCTTTTCTCATTATATGGGGAGACGGAGAATCTAGTGCTATTACATCTAACGGATTATTGATATTGTGGTTGAGCATCAACTACAGTCAGAACAAGATTTATTGGAGAAAAATATAGGAGCAGGCGGGGCTAAACATCCAACTATGAAACTATCGGATATCCGCAATCGGAGGTAAACTGAATAAAGGTTCCGGACACCTCCACCTCTAATCTGCTGAATACAGAAAAGCCCCTAGCTATCGGACTATACATCTAGAGAAATACCCATATTCTCCACTCTCCTCCGATACTCCTCCATCCGTTCCCTAACACTGACTCCATTCCATCTCTCCTCGCCATCAACCACTTCCAGCTCTGGCATCCCAAACTGCTCAATGGCAAAACTAGCCGCTACCATACCCATCGCCGCAGCGAGTACGAACTTTGCTGAGCCATTTCTAGCGATTGAGATAGACATACCGCCGATGAAAGCGTTGCCTCCGCCGGTAGGGTCTATAACCCTTGGATTGTTGCCCCCGGTCTCGGTAGGCGGGTAATATGCTGGCAGCCAGATAGGCGCATGCTTTCTGCAAGCAACGAGACACCCTAATTTGCCCGCACGGACAACGATAGCGCCATTCCCTTGTTGCCCAATTCCCGCTGCTGCTATTTTCTCTGCTAGGGATTTGATAGTATCGGGATTGCTCTTGTCAAGAGAATCTTCTGTGTCATAGTATCCCGCCAACTCGTCGTGATTCGGTGAAATGATGTGAACCATTTTGAGAACTTTGTACCTAACCGGGAATCGCCATTGTTAGCGGAGCCGACCCACCATCCGAAAATCAAAAATGACAGTGGGGTAGCATGCATTTGCGCTCTATGCGCAGGATCACAGGAGTCAGGCACAGGCTCCCAAACCACCAACGGCATAGGATGCGATGGCCTATCCTGTAATGCGTTGTACAAACTGGAGCAGATATTGTCTGCACGAGCGGGGGCACAAATGAGATGAGCCGTTTTCGCCGTGAATAGCCCCACCTCAACAAGGTCGTTAACTTCAATGCGCTTCTTGGGTGTGAGATACTTGAAGGCTCTGTAATCTCCAGGCCCATATTTATTCCACCCACGGGTCGTCCTTCTATTCAGATCCTCGCGTATGATCAGGTTGGTCCCCAACCCCGTGAGGTCTTGACAGATTTCTAGGGGAAAGTCATTCCCTGCATCGACAATCCACCCAATTGCCTTTGCCTGAGGGCCGGGGCTGAAGAGACGAGCACCGATAACGCCTAGAGTTTGAGAAAAATTAGTTAATAGTGTCTCAAGCGGCTCGGAACAAAAATAGTATTGCAAAAATCTAATCCTAAGTGACAGCCAAGACTGAATGGGGGAGCCACGAACTGTATGTCCCAGCACCTCCAACGATGTTATCGACCACATCCTCATCTTCTTCAAAGTGAATCTCGTCTGTATAAATTCATAATTGTTAACCACAAACTTCTATCTTAGATCAACAAAAGAAGCATACCAAGTATAAACATCCCAAACGTAGTAAAATCAATATTTTTGTCGGGCATGGTCAGATATGGGTTAGGGTCTCGGGTGTCCATTGTTTTGTCGTAGGTTGTTGGAGCTCGTCTGATCTGGGGTGAGGCTCGGGAAACAAATATGGTTTCAGCAACACCTAAGTTACCCTGCTCGGAAGGAAGCATGCGTGACACAACCGGCCGGGGTAGCGGTCAATGATAGTTACCCTATTTTTTTTTTCCCTTTGTAAGCGCTCGCACCTGGGCTTGGGGAAGGTAAAGAGAAAAAAAAAAAGAATCTTGTTCAATAGTAGCGAGGGAGAAAAAAAAAAAAAAGTATGATAGGAGTGCTGGTGGCCACTTCCCCTCCTATTTCGCTTGGCTCGTAGTTCGGAAAAGAAGGTACGACATGACTTTTTTTTCTTTCTTTTAATAGGGTGATATTTTGTGACTTGATCATATAATAGCAGAAAGTAAAATACTGATTAAAGTAAAATACTGATTATGTATAAAGAGTAGGAGGAAAATGATACAGATGTTATATTATCTCAATTAGTTACGAGATTTAATTTTTTTCCAGAATAGATCCTGGTGAAATACATGAACAAGTATTTCTCTCTTTCATCATGGGGTGGAGGCACAAAATATCACTCTATTTTTTTTTTTAAAAAAAAGTCTCGTCAAACATGCTTTTGTGTCACGTGCTTTTCCCATCTATGAGCGAAGTGAAATAGGAGGGGAACCGGCTATTATAGTCAAGGAACATGATGTAGAATAGTATTTTTCGGGAGTTTAATTTACCGCCCGGCATTCCTCTCTCCATAGCCCACAGAGTCTCTCAATGCAGTATTACTTTCACTTGACCCCTGTTTGGGGTTTCTTGGGGCAATATAAAGGTGTTCGAAGCAGATCAAAAAAATGTTTCAAGCATCTCCATAAACACTGCCCGGGTTCTGTTGGATAACTAAATGTCTCCCTCCGCCCAATCAATTTCCCAAATAGGAATACCCTATATTCCCTACTAAGGCTCTTTCTTTATTATTCGAGTGGATCCCAAATTATTCAACAATACAGTTCGGTGATGTATCTGATGATTAGTCGTGTATTGTACCGTACGTGCGGAGGACTTTGGGCCATGATGGGGTGATGGAATCTTTTATTTCTGCAAGGGGGCTTGCGGCAGTAAGAGCCGCACGGGATGATAGTGGTTTAGCAAAGAAATATCATATGTCTCCAACCGGTTTTCCACATGAAGCGCTGAATTTCGACTCACTGCCACCATCCGCCACAATGTACCCTATTTTAATGAAGTAGAAACTAGCCCCTGAAGCAGGGCTAGGCTACCAGCAGTGCCAAGCGGCGTGTACTTATCGCTCGATGTTAATAAAACAAGGTTTGGCACCGGTGTATGTTCATAAATTCCCTCGGATGCCTGGTGAGCTCTGAGATTTTGGTGTTATAGTATCCCACCGCAAAGCGAGCCTGTTGTATAATTAGAATGCTTATACAAATAATCCCTATCCTTTAAGAATTCTCCGAGCTTCCTGGCCTCACAATGTTCTCGGCTCTCGATGGGCACAGGCTGCTCCCACCTTAATGGCGCCTCATATATATGCCACTCACAATGCGATTCTCAGTCCTTTGCGGGAAAATATACGGGAATGTGCTTGGGCGCCATGAGGAAGCCCTCCACAGGCCGATATATTGCTGCATATATGACTAGGACTCAGGTGAAAGTATCTGTTAACGAACGGAGGGCTTCGGCGGGGGATGGGCAAGCAGAGAGAAGGCAAGATCTCTGGTTGGTTTCCCCTGCAGACATGGAGGACAACATACTATATTAATCTCCCAGCATCTGGCCGTGACCCCTCCTACGGTAAGGCTACGCATCTTGTGCCTGCTTGTTTGGGAGCAACACTAAAGTGATAGGAGGAGGTGCTATACCGAGCGCACCGACTTTTGTCCTCCACCAAGTGTGGTCATCACGTATCACTCGGGCCGGTCATCACTCCAAGTTTGCATACCAAGGTCCTGCATATTTCAGAGCGCACACTACTTATGGTCACTCCGTGGTACTGTAGGGGAGGGGGCCGGGGTTACCGCAGGCAGTGCTTTAACCCAGAGCAAAAGAGTGAGCCGTGGGGGGGGAAGAGAGACGTAGGAGTTGACCAATACATCTAGAGATTCAATATTCAATTATTCTAGTTATAAAGGCAATAAAAGGAAATCCCTAACAATTGGGGAGGCTGCTTGCTTTATTTTTCTCCCTTTTTTCCTCTCACTTTTGTTTCTCCATCACCTACCTCTTCAATACATCTTTCGCATCGATCATTTGCAGAAATTGTTCTGCCACAATTGCCATTGAATGGGAGTGGAAAGTTAGCAGGTGGGATTAACAAACTTCCCAGCGTCTAGCATACCTGCTACTGTAAAGTCTGTCCTAGCATCCTTCAGCATAGTGCGCTCATCTTTTATTGCACTTGATTAGAATTCAAGTTATGCACAAAATTATTAGAGTCTGAGGTGCTGAAGAGCACTAGCTGGGCTAATTGGTCCGATCATCAAGAGCTTCTGTAGCTTTTGGGGGAAGCTTGAAGCATGGTCTTGTGAGATTATACCTATTCTCTACCGGGTCGATCAATCCGCGTGACTCATCGGCATGCAGAATGGTAATACAACGACCGTAGATATGGTAACTCTGGTACTCCACGTATGAGAGGGAGAGAGATGTAAGTGGTTGTCAAGGCTCCCCACCTGCACGGCATCGGTCGCATACTGGTTAATGTGCAGCCCCCATCCCGCTCAGGCAGTTTATACCAGAATGCTGCAGTCGGTGTTCGGACTGCAATGCGATTGTACTAAGCGGCCACACCTCATCGGTGAGATCGTTGAAACCTGGTTAGAGTTAGTAGCGGATAAAGGTGGAGAGCACAGAAGAAACACATCATCAGTGACAATATGGCAAACTCCTGGTAGAAGTTGTCCCCCACCCTTCTCAACCAACTGCCCCTCAAGTTCGCCTAATCCAAGAGTAACGTCACGCACGGGGAAGTGACACAACACCTAGAAGTGACACAAGCCGGAATGTGCCGAAATGAGGCGTTTTGAGTATACATCACCCCCGCTTTCCAGCTGTGTAACTGATCAATATCACAACAAACACCATGGTACCACCAAAGAAGGCTGATTCTGCCTATGAGGACCGTCTCCAAGGGGCGATTCGAGCAATAAAATCTGGAGAGGAGGGAAGTGTGGCAGCTGCAAGCGAAGCCTTCGGGGTAAACAGGCGGACTCTTTATCGACGCCTTGCCGGTATAACAATAGCCTGAGCCACAGAGTATGAAGAGCAGTAACGGCTCACTTCTCCTGAGGAGTTGGCGATCGTAAAGTGGTACTTCAGGCAGGATGATATTGGCTTTCCCCCACGCCTAGATATGGTTAAGGATATGGCCCTTCACCTAGAATCCAAGAGAACTGGAATGCCTCCTCTGCCGCTTGGAAGGAACTGGATCACCAGGTTTCTGAGAAGGCATCCAGACCTGGCATTAAAACTGAGTACTCAGTTGGAACGACAGTGGGCATATGCCAAGGATCTGGAGGTCTTGTGGAACTACTTCACCAAACTTGGCCAGGTAATAAGAGAGTATAACCTGCGGGAGCTCCAGATTTTCAATATGGACGAAAAGGGATTTCTTATGGGATTATCCTCACAGGCAAAGGTTCTGTGTTGGCGTGGCAGGTGTAATCCCCGTATAACCCATAATAGGAAACAGGAACTAGTAACTGTCATCGAGACAGTGGGTGGAGATGGAATAGTACTGTCACCTTTTGTGATTAACAAAGGTGCAGAACATTATATGGGGTGGTATAAGAACTTAACCGAGAAGGAAAAGACTTACCAGTTCAGCTACTCACCAAAGGGCTGGACTGATGATCAGCTAGCGATGGAGTAGTTGCAAAAGGTTTTCATTCCAGAAAGTCAAAAGAGATGTAGTGACCTTCCCCAACTTCTCATATTCGATGGTCATGGATCTCATGTAACATTTGAGTTTATATGATTATGCTTTTCAAATAATGTCCTTCTCCTTTGCCTTCCACCACATTCTACTACACACTTACTGCAACCCCTGGATGTAGGCCTATTTGGTCCATACCAGCACTTTTATAGTCTCGCAGTAGACAACTATATCCGCTCTGGTCAAAACCTCGTTGGAGTAAAAAAGTCAATTTTTATTCCATTTTTAACTGAAGTCCACCAAGCTACCTTCACCCCCCACAACATTCACCAATTCTTTTTATCTACTGGTATCCATCCTGTAAATTCCGGGCGCGTTCTTGGCAAGCTCAATCCACGAGTAGAGAAGCGGAGGGACACTCTGGGTATCATCAAAAAGCCAAGTGGGAGCCGGGAGATACACCATCAGGTACTTGCTGCTGGCAGGCTACTTGCTAACATCACACTCAACTATTCTGATGCCACTGTTGATCGTGTGAAGGGAATAATGAGCTCTCTTGGCCACCAGTTGGAGGAGGAGATAGCCTCCAAAGAACTGTGGCAGGACCTGAGCTTAAAGCTTCAAAGTACCGATAAGCTTTACAATGCAACCGATCGCCAGAAGCTGAGCGAAGCAAGAGTACTTGATGGAGCAGCTCTGATGGAGCTAAGGGATGCTCGCCTGGCAAAAGATGAACAGAAACAGGTCTGATTGGCATCCTGAAACAGAATTCGAAGCACCCTCATGCGCATTCAGAAAGGAGCCATAAAGGCCAAGAAAAAACCAGCAATTGCCCTTTCCCCTCCCCTCAAACCGGCAATACCTAGGCCCCAGCAGAGGTATACAAATATCATTACATTGGCACAAACTCCACATGTGCTAGTAATTGATTCGGAGGAAGTTTCCAGTGATAAGAGTAGATCAGAAGATATCAGCGATTCTGAATGGTCCTCGGTGATTGTTTTAGGCCACCCTCCCCTTGAATTGCTTCCCCTGCTGCCCTCTCCATCCAAGCAACTTCTATCAACTTCGATCTTGCATATGAGTCTACATACTCGCAAGTGTGCAATTGACTAACTACTTTTTCTTCATCCTGTATGACCCCCCCCCCTACTTCCCCTTACCGGCTTCATCTAACTTTTTTTTTCTTCTTTCAGACTTTTCCTTTCTCTACTCCACTTATCTCCATTTATTCTTTTTCTGGCGTTCTTCCTGTATGTCTTTTGTTGTGATAGCTCAAAAATTGATGTTCCGGGGGTGTTGATATGCTTTGACATCACTATTAATTGCGCAATCTGAAACTGTGTCACTTCCCGGTGTTGTGACACTTCCCCGTGCGTAACGTTATTGCTAAGCAAACAGAAAATTGGGATGGAATTGAGATTGACATTGACAATACCTCATATAAGTAATAGTTGATATCAGTGGATTTTACTTTTTTCCTAGCCACCTTTTTCCTATTTCAGTAACCTAATCTAAAATAATTAATCAGCAAAGTGAATATGATACTATTTGATGTCAATAGATTTCACATTTCTTTATTAGTTATCTCTCACTGCTATTTCAGTAATCTTAACCTAATGCTGGCTACATCTACTGGTCATGTGATGGTGCATTTTACTTTTGTTTTGGCCACCTTTGAGTATTTGAGTAACTCTATAACAGCAAACTGGAGAACCCGAGAGGGCAGTGGACCATATGATTGGGCTTTGTCCAATAAGCGCACATGAGAGGGGAATAGGGCACTACCATACATAGAATCAGCAGTTAGGTAGGATTATTAATTTCCCTCGAAGACACTACTCATGATGTACTACGTTGGGATGGATCTGTCAGCTATACAAGCCCCTCTGGCCCCTGTATCTCGGTTGTGAGTATGCAGCATCACTTTGAAGCACCTGCGCTCTCTCCTCCAAGATAATCATTGAAGCTTTCCCTGAAAAGACGGACAACCTCCGGGAGCTAGTATTCTTTGATTTTGACTTTCAAGCATTTATATTCACTTTGCAAGAGGGATAGGGGATTTGAGGCACCATGTCCAGGAGGAGCTGGCTGGAACCTGGTGTCAGGGTGAGAAATCTGACCATGAGAAGATGCATCAGTGGCCCTGCAAGTCTCAGAGGCATGGGGTGGTGAGAGAAGAAGCAGCGTAATTGCAGCTGCCAGCTAGCCAGCTAGGCTCCATCACATCTCATATGCGAATATCAAACATCTCACTTGCAGGTAGACTTTTAATACCATTGCTATAGTGGTCTAAAAAAGAATCAAAAAAGCAAACATCAGCCATCCCACACCCCTTGATACCACTATTCAACCCAGCCCCCTACCTCCCCTACCCTATTCACTGTATCCCATCCATATCAGACCCACCTACAAGTGGTGTCCCCTCCTGCCTCTCTGCCTTAGGCGGCCTACCCAATCAACCTTGAGTACCATTTCAAGTGATAGATAGCCAGGGCTGACTTACCGTATTTGCGGTGAGCTTTTGCCTATTGCATATCACCCCAGACATCCTCAGCATAATCCAGGAGATCTTGAGCTGTGAAGACAATATCCCCCTCGCCTGCGACCGGTGGGCGAAGAAAGATTGCGTGAAAGGGGAGCCTCAAAGGAGCTCCAGTAACAGTATTGCCATAGATGTTGATTTCGTTGATTTTTGTCGGCCTGATTACGAGGGGATTAGGATTGTTTGGTGTGATATAGGGATTGGGTGTATTGCGATCTTCCCACTGCTCTATATGTATCTTCTGCTGCGGCGAGGAGACAGAGACGAGAAGAACGATTTTGACATCGTGGGCAGAGTTTGCCAGCCACCAGTTTGCATCAGTTCTCAAGCGTCGAAGTGAACCTGAAACCCCGCATTCAAACACCAGGGTTGGCCAGTCGTCTTTGAGAGGACGAGTGTTAGGTTTAAGAGCTGAATCCGCTTCCTTCTTGGACCTCGCACCCTGATAGGTTGTTGCACGTCTATCTCGAAGAGCCCTGTGGAGCCCCATCACACCAACCTTCAGCCGAACGATGTGTGTAAGCTCGCTGGTGGCTACTTCATGAGCAGGGCCCGGCATAATTTTGACAATCAAGGTCTGTGCATCGTTCAGATACAGGAAGCGGAGTGATTTGTAGTGGCTGTCACGAATGTGCTCAAGATTTGTAAGCTCGTCTTGCGTAACTGGGGAAAATACCGCGTACTGCCCAGCACTCAAGTTACCCGAGCGTAATCCATTGGCCTGCGCCTGAATTGAGTGAGCCCAGATGGTAGCGTCGCGAAATTGCTGGCATTCGACCCCTTCTAGCCCTTCCTTGAGATAGTAATCCATATTGAGCGACATGTTAGGCACAGGTGTTTGCGAGGCGGAAGGGGTTGCGGATACATCCATTTGGTGGGCGCCATTGTCAGTCATTTTTTTCCCTTGGTCTGTGGTTGATACCCAAGAAGGTTGCGGCACTTGGGTGGTATGGGTATCAGGTGGCTGTGTGTATTCGGCTTGTCGGTTTAGTACAGCTGGCATGACATCACCTGGAATTCTCTGCGCGTCTGCGCGAGTGACCGCATGGTATGGGCCATCACTTTGCATCGTACTGGACACAACAATTCATTAATTACCCGAGTACGGGTATACAAAATACTGATTGAATGCCCTCGTCGATAGCGTCCATGGTCTACTACCGGTGTTTGAGAGGTGACCTGCCAGATGGAAACTTTTCCTGCGTAAATTATGCCTAACTCCACCTTCTGTACCGTAAAATAGGGCTCTGTTTGATTGCGATGGTTCCGTTCCGCTCACCCATAAATGACCATTAGGGGGATTTACCTGGCTCGGCACACGGGTCACTAGGCCAAGATATGCTCTGTAAGGAGTTTAGCCAAGATACCCGAAGTGATTTTCTTCTCGCCTAGGCGGATAGTTACCCGCTTAGAATATGCCTTGTCCCGGGAAAGCCTTCGAAAAGCAACAAATAGTACTGGAACAGATATTATAAGTGGAGTATGAAGTAAAAGACTTGAGCTATGTGTCAAGATGGATTCGGGAAAAAAGTACGGATTTTTGATACTTCAAGAAGGTAGGAAGGAAGAATCAAAGGTATTTTTTAGGAGACTATTTGAGATAGTGTGATTGGGAGATATGAGGTAATTATCAGCCTTCACGAAACAGATGCTAAATCCCTAAAAAAAGGCTAGGCTAAGCCTAGAGAGCGATTCCTCTCTTGTTACCCTAGGGGCCTTTGTTCCGAACCGGCTAAACCTCCCTATTTCCTTCCTTTTTGAAAAGGTTGTTGCTAAGATGCCGTTTGGCACAACCGCTATCAACCTTTCCGTTTCAATGGTTGACTGTTAGCAACAACCTTTTCCACCAGTCAAACCATTCCACAATGGAATGGTTTCCACTTCTTCCTTTTTTACCAAACACGCCCTAAGGGTATTCACAGTTAAAAAAGTGGTGAAATCCCTAGGCTACCCTGCTGGTTCCTGTGAACTTGGCATTCACAAAAATAGTCAATTTAGGGTTACTCTACCATGCTATAAGATACTAATTTTTATTGCTGGGACGGATGGTGAAAGGTCCGTAACGAATGTAAGTAAAGAGAGTAAATTGTGTACTATTGAATCAGGTCGTCTCCTCCCTCAGAACCTGGCATTCTTTTATGAGTGAATATCTGTCGGGCTACCAATCAACTTAGTTGCTATCTGGAGATGGCATCATTTAATTCCATAGGATGGAGTCCTCAGTGAGTGCCGTGATAAAGGTCCTGCCAATTGCCTGTTGAACGGTGTATGCTTTTGATTAAATTCCTTATCCTCTTGTTTGGAGTCAATATATGGTGCTCTGTGGAAGTCTTTGACATGATCAGTTATTTCTATCGTAGTGTTGCTAATTTTTCTCTCCTTATTTGGCCAGGTATCAGTATACTCGTTCCACTAGCCCTCCTAATTCTCTCTCCATAATTCAAATTATCTGTTGCGGGGCTCTCAAACATGTTCCTAAAATCCTATTAATGCTATTGGCACATTGTATAAAGCACCCTAGTGCATGATTCTAGGCTAGATTTTACCGGAAGGTTACTGATTTAACTTTGAATACCCCTACTGACCATAAATTTACGTTGAAAGCGGCGTTCAAAATCAGAGTAAGCTAGTGGGGGTGTCGGTCGAAAGGGCTAGTTCACAGTCAAAGATGGAGTTGAAGGTTCACCTTTTGAACGGGTGCCTGGAGGCCCGTTTTCAACCTTCAGTCTATGTTTTCCATCCGCTTCTCCCTAATCATATCCTATCGGATAGGTGGGCCATGCAATCTCTTCCGTGGTCCTACACCCAATCCTATCGAGTGGACCTTTCCACTATTGTTTTTTCTTTCTTTTCCATTTTTCTCCGTGGTTCCTTTCATTCCGATCCGGTCTGCTCAATTCTGAGTGGTTTTCGCTTTTTTCCTTCTTCTTCTTTCCTTTTTTTCTGAACTTCTTTTCCAACTGTTAAGCTTATATGATCTTAACACAATGGAGTCAAACAGTGTTCCTAACCGTCCACGGGCCCGGCGGGGCCACACCGGGGGAGTGCCAAGAGCCCTGGACGGGACGGGACGGCCATGTGCAGTCCGTCCCGGGCGCTGAAAGTAGAGGATGGCCGTCTTTGGGTAGAACGGCGGGTCCTATGGGGTGAAACAGGGTTGGCAAGGGGGACGGCGGGGGATCACTAGGGACGGCAGGGGACTACTGGGGACTGCCGGGGAACGCTAGGGACTGCTAGGGACTGCTGGGGACTTCAGAGGATTACAGCGGACTGAGGGGGACAATATTTTGCCCCTAGGATTTTAGGAAGTAGGACCGTAGACCATTGTAGTCCGTCCAGTCCTACCAGTCCGAGGGCGTAGCCCGTCCTGGCGCTGCCGAAGAGACGGAGTACCGGCTATAGTCCGTCCCGTCCTACCCTAAAGACGGACGGGACTGGACTATCGGGAACAGTGGAGTCAAATAGCATCGATTGGTCCGGATTCTCGCACTCCCATCGGTATGCATTGCTTAAAGCTGGTCCAAGGCATTGGGGATCGTTTGTACGTAGATTTACCGGTGGGCGGGCGAATATGGTAATATTGTTTAGTGGAAAAAAGAGTTCTCGGAATGAAGCGCACACTTGAGCTGTTGCAAAAAAAAAAGGTGTCCTCAGAGTTATTTCCACTGCCAGTTTCAATTGATCAATTCTATTGGTTTGATTTATCCTTAGTGCAACACGTAGTCACGTGAAACTGTCAACTTACTCAAGTCGCCGGTTTGAAGTCATGTTTCCATACGTGGTACAGGGGTTCTTGGCATGGGAAAAGCAGCATTTCATAATTATGGGAAATTTGGAATACCGGACAAGCAGGTCATAGTAGTAGTGACTGGTAAGAAAAGATACCTTTTAAAGACTATTAAATATAATTTTAAGTCACTTAACCAACTTCCAGCCATCATAATTGTCGCCACCATACAGGATACACCATTCCAACTTTTCATGAAAGCTATCTCTGGGTTACTGTGAATATGGAATTGATATTGTACTCATCTATTACTTCAAGTTATGTACACTGAAAATATGCGTTTGCTATGCCAAGAACCCTAGTATGGTTCCGGAGCACCAGAGGTGAAACCACTTTTCCCAATAGATGTGTGACAGTCTTGGTTGTAAAAATTTCTATAATGCTTGAAATTGACTTGGCCTAACCTGTTAGCTTTACCAAGAAAAATATAATACTCTGTAAAATAAATTTGATTTTCATATGCCCTGCCCAAGATAGTCTAGTTATAAATCATGTTTATATCATTTCTTGTTTAAGGCTGTAAAACAACAAAACCATTAAACATGTCTCTAATAGGAAGATAATATAACACGTATGATATTAGTCCCATCTATACACTATACCAGTATATCAGCTATAGATCACATAGAAGCATTCCTGAGTCAGCTCTTCAAGTTAATATAATAATATATATTATAATCTTGTCTCTTCTGTCTCTTAATACATTCTCATTAAATAACATGATCCTTCTTAGAAACTTTTTTCTTAGTTTTCTTACACTAATTTATTAATATAATATTAATTTGTTTAATGGTATTTGTTAGCATCATGATGATACTAGTATTATCATCTTATTTATATTATATATTTAACATATTAGGATAATATATATATTTGTTGCTAATATATATAACTAAGCCAAATTCAAGCATTACAGAAATTGTTACAGCCAAACTGTCATATATCTGGTAAGACAAGTAGTTCCACCTCTACTCTTCCGGAACCATACCCATAGTATATTTAGTATACTTAGATTATATTTAACATAAAGTCATGTTAGGTACTAGGTCGTGTTGGCAACTATGTTAGAAACTTAGCTATACAGATTGAGTATAGTTGAGTCTAGATATATCTTACTATAGTTATAAACATTGGTACCTTCTTCAAGTTATGCTCAAATCCACCAACCTGGTATACCTAGGTTTCCAACATCACTGCTGAAGCAACATAGTATCTAACATGACTTTAGTTTACATTTCATAATACCTTTCTCAGAATATTAAGGAATAAGAGTTTGTTTTATTACTTTTATTACTTTTTATTTTTATTTGAATTGATTTGAATTGAATTGAATTGATTTGATTTAGTTGAATTTGATTTCTGTTTGATTTCATTTGATTTGATTTGATTTGATTTGATTTGATTTGATTTAATTTGATTTAATTTGATTTAATTTAATTTAATTTGACCCCACACCATTCCACACCCCCAGGAGACACAGGCCGACTAAACACGGTCACGCGACCCAGCCCCCGCTACGCCCGCAGGGGTACCGGATGTTCTTCGCATAATGATCTAAAGCATCACTAAGTATCGCTCCTTCATATCCGGCACTCTCCCTTTCGAGGCGTATCACCTATTGCTCACTATTGGCAACGGTAAAAATGATACTGCTCGTGGGAGCCAGGACGCTCCCAGCAGGGCAGGCAGGAACTCTAGTTGTCGTTCACAGTCCGGAGCTCCCCAACAACTGTGATGCAAAGTCCATGGAGAGGAGAGAAGAGG